GACACCGCTAGTCCGCGGCAGGCAAGGCCACCTGTGGCCTGGCAGACTTCACCCGCACCGACGTCCGCCGTCACGGGTAAACGGAGGCCTTTCCCGTTCTTGTGTGAGCGAGCGTCCCAGACCTCTTCCTCGCCATGTCGGAGAAAGGAGGCTCGCCCGCCGCGATGCCACTGCGCTGCAAAGGGATTTCGAAGCGTCCTCCTCCTGGCGAGCCTGGTGGCGATCCTGGCGGCAGGGCTGACCGCTCCCGTTCGCCACCGCAGGGAGATGAAGTTGATCTGGACGCGTACGCCACCATGGCCTACGTGCAGTCCCTCCAGTCGAAGATCGACGCGATGGAGACCGCAATCAAAGAGTCCATCATTTCGACCGTCACCACCGTGGTCAGCTCCGCCACCAATCCCATCTCGTCGGCGCTCAAGGCCGCCCAGGACGGCATTGACGGGTTGGGCGCCAAGATCGAAAAGAACGTCCACCTCGCCGTCGGCCAGCAGATCGACGCCACGAGGAAGCACTTCCAGCAACAGCTCGACGCCTTCAAAATTCGCGTCGGCGAAGTGGAGGCCAAACAGGAGAAGACCGACAAAGCAATCGAGCTCATGGCGGAGCAGATCAAAGTATTGCAACACGAGCTTGCCACGGCCAACAAGCAGCCGATCAAACAGCAGTTCACCAGCCGCGACTTCGATCGCGAAATCGACGCCACGATCATCAAGGTCCACGCGGACGGCCTGGTCACCCTGGCCAAGGCCACCGAGTCTCTCACCAAGTTCGCGGTGGGCTGCGACATCCGCGAGACTGACTTCACTGTCACTGGCAACGACACCGCCAAATTCTTCACCATCAAGTTCACGGGCCTCCCTGGCCCCGCCAGCCGCCGTGTGCAGAAAGTCCTGGACAGCATGCGCTCGACCAACGGCACCTGGGTGCGCATCTACGCCGATGCTGTCTCGGGCCACGGGGCGGTCGAGCTGCGGATGGGCCCCGACAAGTCGCCGAAGCAGATCAAGACGGAGATCGTGGGGAAGCGCCTCCGCCAGGCCATGGAACGCGAGTTCCCGAACCATGTCTGGCGCGTGGACCGCACCAAGGCCTGGATCACTGCAGGCTGGGCCCCCGTCATTGCGTACAGCGTCCGCCCAGGCAGGGACGAGCCGACCATCCTCACGTTCCAGGACACCGGCCTCCCCGCGCTGGGCATCGACCGCACGACCCTCAAGAACGCCGCCAACGTTGTTGTTGCACCTGAAGCCGCCCCGCAATTCTGGCTTTGACGAGCTGGCGCGCAGCCAGAACCGCCTGGCCTGTGGGCCGACGGCCTGCCTGGCCGTCGGCACATGGAACGCTCGCGCTTTCCTGGGCTACCAGGGCAGACGCGTCGTGGAGAAGTCCGCGTACCTCAAGTCCATGCCGCTGAGCAAGATGGCCCTGGGCATCCAGGAGGTCCACCAGAACCACGGCCAGCTCCTTGCCTTCATGCGGAAGATCGACAGCGCCCTAGACATGCACTCCTCCTTTGCTCCTGGACATCATGGCACTATCAGTGGCGGGGTTGCCACTGTGTTCCCTGCTGGGATGAATGCTGTGAGCGACCCCGTCTTCCCTGGCCGTGTTCTACGCTCTGTCTGCCGTGCTGGCGACCAAGTGATGATCTTCTACAATATCCACAACTACGACCTCAGCAACGCCACCATCCAGAACATCACCACGCGCATCAACAGCGACCTTCAGTGGGCGAGGTCCGACCCGAGCCGCGTTGTCCTGTTCGTCACTGGGGATTGCAACTTCTCCGCCGTAGGGAAGCTGAAGCTCCTGGACCCTGTGGCAAAGGGCAACTCGAACCCAACTGAAACGTCCAAAGCATCGGCCCGCAAGTGGCACAACGCCCTGAAGCACCTAGTGGAGATCGACAGCGCCGACACCACGCACTACTGCTTCGAGACGAAGGCCGAGACCACCATCGACAGATGCTTCTGCTTGTTCACTCCCACTCAGATGCTGCAGCTGGCTGTCACGTCCGCCACCTTCTCCACACCTGAAGACCTCTCACGCCGTCGTGTTAGTGACCATGCCGCCCTCTTCGTCTCCTTCACGATGCGCGATGCCAAACCCTCGCCGAACCAGCCGATCGCCCAGTACATCGTCAAGTCCCCCGTCTTCAGGGAGATTGCCGACAAGGTGTTTGCCGCCCCCCCCATGGACCACCTGCCCCCGCCGACCAAGCTGATTCAGACCACCGATCTTCTCAGACAAATTGCACGTGAAGCTCGTGACCGTCTTCATGAAATGCATCCGAGCAGAGGCGGCGTGCTCCTTCAGGTAGCGAAGTCGATCTCACGCGCGGCTTGGCGCCAAGACCGACAACTCGCTGCTCGCCTCCTTCGCTCGCACCTAGTCGCACAAGAACACATCCAGATCAATGGTGACAGTGTCGGGCTCATCGATCATGCCAAGTTCGAGGAGTGGGCAAGCAACCTCTTCCGCCAAGACGCTGAACAGCGTCAGGCAGCCATCGACCAAGCAGTTCAACGTGGGCGCCTTCGACCCGCTCAAGCACGTGGACAAACCCAAGCCCTGCAAAGGAAGCTCCAGCTCTGGAACCCACTCAGCAAGCGCCTGATCCTGACGGGAGTCAAGACCAGCGAGGGCACCGTGACGGGCCCCAACGAGCGGCTCAAGAAGCTTGTGGAGCACTGGCAGCCGGTCTTCGCAGGCAAGACCGTCGACGTGACCAAGGCCGCTGTCTACCTGAACCAGTTCTCGCCCACCATCGATTTCTCCAAGTACAGGCCGCCAGACTACGAGACGCTCAAGAAGTTTGCCAGGCGCTCGTCTTCCATTTCACCAAGCCTCGACGGACTGCCGTATCTCGCCTGGTCCGCGCACGAGAAGTGCACCGAGGTTCTCTGGGATGTCATGTGCTACATGCTCAACGGCGGGATCCTCCCCGACGAAGTGAACGCGACCGTCCAAGCTTTCTTGCCCAAAGGTGTGGAACCAGAGGACTCGGAACATCACGGCTGCCATCGAGACCCGTCCAAAGTCCGTGTCCTAGGATTGCGCAACACGTCCCTCAAGATAATCAGCAGCACGATGAATGCTGCGACGGCAGTGGTGGCAGCCGAGGTGGTCCCAGCCTCACAGCGTGGGTTCATCCATCGGCGTAACTTCGGTTACAACATCCTCGAGCTTGACGCCGAGAGCCGCATTGCCTCGGCCGATCCAGACGCCCAGGACATGCTGCCAGTGCTCGTGTCGCTGGACATCGCGCAGGCCTTCCCCAGCTTCGCCCACCAGTTCATCCGTCTGGCGCTCAAGGCCATGGGCGCTCCCGAAGCGATCCTCATGTTCTTTGACTCCATGTGCAACAACATCCTCGCGATGGCCCCGTGCGCTGGCCAGTACGTCCCGCTCTTCTATATCAGGTCGGGCATCATCCAAGGATGCGGCTGGAGCGGCACGCTGTGCGCAATGGGCACTGCAAGCTTCCTCCTCAACCTCGAGACCGTCCTCGAAGCCCAAGGCCGTGGACTCTGCCGCGCATGCGCTGATGACCTCGGGCTCGTCCTTCGGGCCGCCGCCTACCTGGTCTACCTCGCCGACGTCATGCTCTGCATGGAAATTCTGGCTGGTCTGGAGTTGAAGGCGCCGAAGTGCCACATCATCCCCTTGGCAGGCCAGGTCAACGCCGACCTCATCCTCAAGCTCAAGAATACGTTGCTCAACATCGTCCCGAAGTTCAAGTACTTCAAAATATGCGACCACCTCACCTACCTCGGCCTCTTGCTGGGCCCCGGTGCCACGGACCAGCTGATTTACGCGAAGGCCTTCAACAAGTACCGCTCCCGAGTAAAGGCGCACAGTGCAAGTGATGCGCCAGCCGTTGGGGCAGTCTCCCTGTACAACGGGCGCGCGCCCCCCGTCCTCGGCTACCTTGCCCAATACGCCTTGCTCCCGCACGAACACTTCAAGCATGAGAGCTGGATCAACACCTCCATCCTGCGCTTCCCGAACGGCGCATTCAGGTTGACGGACTGGCCCTTACTGAAGGACTGGGGGGGTCCCCGCGCCGAGGTCCCTCCAGCTCAGATTGCTAGCGACAATCGTCCGCGCGGTGACCTCGACGTTCAAGAAGTTCGCCGAGATCCGTGAGAGACTTCACGCAGGTTTGAACTCCTACGGCCTCCAGCAGACCCTCGAGGGTGCCGCGCGGGGTGCCCTCCATCTCTCTCCGCCGTGGTGGCAGTCGCAGGCCTTTGTGGAGACGATGCACCAGATCGCGACAGCCACCTCTGACCACGTGTACTACCCCCACCAGCTGGTGGCACCAGCGATCGAGGCCGCGCGGGCGGCGGTCGCCAACGAGCAGCCTGGCCTCGCGCAGAAGCATGCCTACGCCTCGGCCCTGACCACCCGCGGGGCCGACGGCATCGGGCCCTTCCTGCAGGACCGCATCGTGAAAGAGCTCCCACACGCTAGCGAGCTCTTCATCCACAACCCCACCATCATGCATGACATCCAGACCGCCATGAAAAGGCTGCCCCCATCGTGGGCGACAGCGTGGATGAGGACGCTGTCCTTCTCGTGGCTCACGTCCTACCGCATCGCCTACCCGTGTGGTAGGCGCCTGTGCATCTTCGGCTGCGCAAGCGGCCAAGACAAGATGTGCCACTACCTCGTTTGCGCGCCACTGGCGCTTGCTGTGGGGCGTGCTTGCGGCGCGCCCCCTCTCTCCACCGAGTTCGCGAAGCTCGGGCTCATAGACCAGTCCAACGAGTGCGCCGAGTCCATCGCGGTTGCCTGCCTCACGTACCACATGCTCAGGCAGGAGACCCACGTTTCGGCGGAGGCCACCCTGACGGCCGCTAGGGCGGCACTGAGGGCCACGAAGACCATGAAGAAGCCGCCGCCCGTGCTGCGTCAGCACCATCGCCACCGTCGGGTGGGGGCGGCCCCTGGACACGGACATCCACCTGCACCTGATCGGCATCGTGTGGGAGATGCCGACGTACTTCATCCACTTCGGCTCCGTGGAGCCGCCGCTGATCGCGATCAGCATCCAGATCACATCCGAGGAGATGTTCGGCATCCTCCTCCTGGCGCGCTGCCTGTGAGCAGGTAAGCGCGTGCGCGGGGGCTGCTGGCGCCGCGCGGGGCGCGGCCGTCGGGAGCCTGGAGCCTTCCCCCTCCGCACGCTCGACTCCTCCTCCTCCTCCTCCTCCTCCTCCTCCTCCTCCTCCTCCTCCTCCTCCTCCTCATCATCATCATCATCAGCATCATCATCATCGTCATCAGTTTCGTCCTGTTCTAGCTTGCCCTTCTTGACGGGCGTTCATCCTCCTCGTCCTTCCTCCTCGTCCTCATCCTCCTCCTCCCCTCCTCCTACTCCTCCACCTCCACCTCCTCCTCCTGCTGATCTTCCTCCTCCTCCTCCTTCACCTCCTCCTCCTCCGCCTCCTCCTCCTCCTGCTTATCCTCCTCCCCCCTCCTTTCTCCCCTCCTCCTCCTCCTCCTCCTCCTCCTCTCCTCCTCCTTCTCCTCCTCCTCCTCCTCCTCCTCCTCCTCCTCCTCCTCCTCCGCTGCCCCACTTGCTGCCAGCCCGAAGGAGAGGCTGGCGAAGGCCATGGCCCACGTCCAGAAGGCCCACCCCCCCTTGCCTCGGCAAGGACGGGTGGTGGCCCGTCCAGGCCCGCGAGGCCGTGGCGGGGTCGCAAGAGCAGCGCAGGGCTCAGGAGTGCAGGTTGCATGCCAGCCGTGAAATGGCCGGGGAGGGGCAACGCAGGGTCTGCCTCGATGCGATCCGCTCCGACAGGGATCCTGGCCAGCCCGATGCTAGCCGATCCGACTCGACTTCGACTCCGTGCCGACGCAGCCCGATCCGACGAACGTGGCGGTTCTGTCCGTCGGGGGTGGGCAGGCCTCCTACCCTGACACGCCGATTAGCGGATTGCGATTTTTTCGGTTCGCGAGGGGGCCTCGCGGCCGTCCTTTTTGCGGGTCCATGTCCGTGTGTTTCGGTCCTGGGCCGTTTTCGTTGAGGGGAGGTTTGCTAAAGGGAGGCTTGCCCACCGCCGAATCCGGCTTCCCAGCCCGACGCCGGTTGATCTTGCAGTGATTTCGACTAGACGTAAGAGTGACCTTTCGCCGGAGTGACCTTGGGTGCGGGCACAGATGGGCCCTCGGATGGCTGAAAACGAAGCGGTAGCAGCGGCTTGCGCGCTCAGGTTTGGTCCCCCCGCGCCCCCCAACAAGCCGCGCACCAAAGGTCATTCTTACCCAGGGTCACTCTTGCGTGTAGCCGATGATTGGGGCAGCCGCAGCCGCCGCCGAAGCCGGCTTCCCGGCCCGACGCCGGTTGATCTTCCTCCCCCTCCTCCTCCTCCTCCTCCTCCTCCTCCTCCTCCTCCTCCTCCTCCTCCTCCTCCTCCTCCTCCTCCTGGCAGGGGAGGCCGCGGTCGGCACAGCAGGCTGGGCGCTCCAGGAGGGGGGCCCGCGCACCCTCGGGGCAGGCGGGCACTCGGAGCGAGGGGCGGCGCCGCGGGGTCGCGGGTGGGCGGAGGGGCGGCGAGGGGAGCGGGTCTGGCCTGCCAAGATCTCTGGGCATCGCTCGGACGTGTGCACTTTTTCCCTCGGCGAGGACCTCTCGAGGAGCATGCTTCGATCCGTTGGCGAAAGAATAACCACGCACGGAGCCGAACAAAACACAGGGAATGGACGTCCGAGCGATGCCCAGAGAGGAGGAGGAGGGAGGAGGAGGAGAGGAGGAGGGAGGAGGAGGAGGAGGAGGAGGAGGAGGAGAGGGAGGATGGGGATGGAGGATGAAGCGGGGGAGGTGTGTGGAAGGTGGGATCGCCAGGAAGCAAGCGGCTCCTGAGGGAAACGGGCCCCGACGGGTCTCGCCCTGTCCGCGGGCCCCGAGGCCATCAACGGACTGCGGCCGGACAGAGGTATAGCAGATCGAGGTCGGTTCGGGGAGGGTACTCCAGATATCGTAGTAAAGGGAGGGGGGTCTCCTTTCGGGGGGGGGGTCTCTTCCAGGCTATCTTGGAGGACCTGGGGCGTCTGGGGACGATGTTTTGGAGGGTTCTCCCACGGGGGAGGTCTGAAATGGCTTGTCTTGGAGGGTCCAGACCTCCTCCCTTTTATTACGAAATCTGGAGTACCCTGATGTTTTTCGTGTTTGTTGGATGCTCTTGTGCATCCTGGGGCTCGCATGTTCTGCACTTTGGCAGGCGGAGGGTCTCGCATGCTTGAAGGAGGTCATGCTGTCCTACGTCGGGCCGTGCTCGGGATGCAGGGGTGGTCACGGGGGAAGGCTCCCGTGCGGGTGTGCAGAACCCGTTTCCGTCAGCATTCTTACCAGCCTCGAACGTATCCCTATCCCTAAGATTGACACGCCAAAAGGCGATGACAATCTTAGGGATTCGCCCTCAAAAAATAAGGGAACCCCTAAGCTTGGCATCGTGATGAGGAGGTGCCCAGCATAGGGACAGGGATATGTTCCAGGCTGGCAACATTCGTCTCTTCACGCCAGCAAGAGTTGCAGACCAGTTGGGGCTCAGGGTTGCTGGAAGTGTCCGAACAAGAAGCTAGGGCGCTGGCCGGCGCCCCGCTAGGATGTGATGTATGTCTCCGGTTGGCCCGGAGACTTCAGGGACACCTAGGTCCGCGGAGGAGATGCCCCCATATTTCGGGCGTGGACAGAACCCCCAACAGTGACACGTCGATTAGTGAATTGTCCGTTTTCGGTTCTCGAGAGGGCGCCGTGGCCGTTATTTTTCAGGCTTGCGCCCGCCAGGTTTGGGCCTCAGGTCGTTTTCACTAAACCACGTTTTACTAAAGGGGGGTCTGTCCATCCCCGAATATTGATTATCGTCGTCAGACTGCTAACCGTACGTAGCTACGAATCGAAATCATGGTATAACACATCGTTGCTCGACTGGTAATTGGCAAAGAGCCTTGCTTCGTGGGTGAACTTGCCGTAAAAGTATTATAAGTCTGCACGCTTCATTGGGCAAGGTCAGTCATGTCACGCTTGTGTGGGCGACCAGGTTCGCCCTCAGCCGCAGCACGCTTATGAAGAACACGTGCGGAGGCCAACTCCATGGGGGCATCGGCAAGGCCGATACAGGGCGGAAAACCGATGGGGTTGCCGTAATCGGTGTGAGGAGGGCTTTGTCCTGTGGCCACGCCCCATTCTACTTATGCTGCCCCTCCCCCCTTCACCTCCTCCTCCACCTCCTCCTCCTCCTCCTTCCCCTCCTCGTCCTCGTCTTCCCCTTCCGCCTCTTCACGCTCAACCTGCTTTTCCTCGTACTCGCTGCCCCCCTTTCCCCCCCCCCCGGCCCGCGCGCGCGGCAGCGTGTGAAGGAGGAGGGGGAGGACGAGAAGAAAGAGGAGGACAGCAGAAGGAGGAGGAGGAGGAGGAGGAAGAGGAGGGAGCAGGAAGGGAACGCCAGGAGGAGGGAGAAGGGAGAGGGAGAGAGAGCAGTAACAGACGGAGGACAGGGAGGAGAGACGAGGGAGGAGGAGGAGCAGGAGGAGCAGGAGGGAGGGGGGCAGGAGGGCCAACGAGCATGCGGCGAGCGTGGCAACTCGAACGACCTGCTCGGTGCGGCGTCCTTCTGCAAGAATGCCTGAGCCCTGCACTTGAAGGGCAACTCGAGGGGGAGGCTTGACATACAGGAGACGGGTCCTGAGGTAAACGGGTCCTGGATCTCGGAACTTCTCCCGAGTTGTTTTGTTGACAGCCCCGGGGCCCGTGGAGGGCGCGGGGAGGCCAAAGTCGATGAAAAACCTCTAGGCCCGCTTCTTTTCATAGAGGAGGAGGAGGAGGAGGAGGAGGAGGAGGAGGAAGAGCAAAGCACAACATGGATTTCACATGCCTCTGGTCTGTTCGGCACGCTCTGCGCGTGCGCAAGTATTGCAGCAGGCAGAGATTTGGTGGTGACTAAGCGACTATCGGCCGAGCTCCGTGCAAGGAAGAGGAAAGCATAACCCCCACATAACCCGCTTCAGGCTTGCTGTGCGCAAACGTGCAAGCACCTCGGTGGCATTATCCCCGCCGGCTGGAACCTCGTTCCCGACGCAAAGCTTGCATGCGTACGTTCCGCGATCACAGATACTACTGGGGAGAAGCTTTTCGGCCGCCAGAGACGTGTCCAGGTCGCCTCGTCTATGGTGCCATCGCAGCTGAGTTACGACACGCATGTGTTGTCAGAGGTGAAAGGGAAACCCCGCATCATGTTGAACTGCATGTACATGCGAGCCAGGCGACGCATGGAGATCAGAGGTACCAGAGAGCGAAAAACAGCCACGAGCAAGTCAGGACAGTTTTTGATGTCGTCTCTTTTGATTGCTTGTTGCGGGAGAAGTGGCATACATGTTTGGCTCGATTGGCGAGGCATGACCGGCAGCTTTGGTGGCCATCCTCTAGGCAAACACGTAGTTGGGACGCGGACTCCCATGGGTCAACGCGGTTACGCGTGATCCGGAGGTGTTTCAAAAGGCAATTCAGGAAAAGACAGCCAATGAATTTGCGCCAAGAGAAGACCTGAAAGCATGGTGGAATATGGCCGCAAGCTACCCAGCGGATTGGAAGGCTTCGGTCAAAGTGTACCAGGACCACACAGACGATCGCACACAACATCGATTGTGCAGCACTCGTGGAAACCGCAAGTCTCTACAATGCCCGAAGTGCCCCAAGTGTTTGTACAACGCGCAGAGAATGGCCTGTCATCAGGGCACAGTCCACAAAGTGAAGCAGAAACTCCAGGCACACGTCGGAGACATCAGTGTAGGCCCTGTCTGCGGCAAAGAATGTGTCAGCAGAGCACGGCTTGTAAAGCGCTTGGGCGAGATCAGGGTCTGGAGCAGGATGCGCGTTGTGTCGTGTCGGGATGCGTTCTTGCGCGAATTGCCAGAGCGCGTGCTGGACGACAGCTTGCATGCGTTAGAGGCGCGGGGCACAAAAGCTAGGTACCAGATGCCCTCGAACATGGACACTCCTACGCATCCTGAAGCGCCAGCCAAACTGGTCAGACGACGATGAACGCGAGCGGGCGACGCTTGCGTATTGCTTCACGCATCTGCACAAGTTTCTGGAAGTTCATGCGTTGCACTGCAAAGAGGAGGATGAGGAGGAGGAGGAGGAGGAGGAGGAGGAGGAGGAGGAGGAGGAGGAGGAGGAGGGGGAGGAGGAGGAGGAGGAGGAGGAGGAGGGAGAGGAGGAGGAGGGGGAGGAGGAGGAGGAGGAGGGGGAGGAGGAGGAGGAGGAGGAGGAGGACGAGGACGAGGAGGAGGAGGAGGAGGAGGACGAGGAGGAGGAGGAGGGGGAGGAGGAAGGGGGAGGAGGAATAGCGGGAGTAGAAGGACGAGGAGGAGGAGGAGGAGGAGGAGGAGGAGCCTCGCGCGAGTTCGGCTGGACCATCGTCGACCTCGTGGAGCACGACCAGGTGCGGAAGAGGACCCTGGGACTCCCGGCCTCGTTGGCCGCTGCCCGCCGGCGCTTGCCCGCCCGCGGTCGCCCGAGCGGCTTCCCCCAGGCCTCCCTTGCGTCGCAACATAGAGAAGCACGCCGGGAACACATCACCATTTCATCGTCCTGCTCCTTTTCTTCCTCATTCTCCTCCTCCCCCTCCTCCCCCTCTCCCTCCTCCTCCTCCTCCTCTCCTCCTCCTCCCCCCTCCTCCTCCCCTCCTCTCCTCCTCCTCCTCCGCCTCCTCTTCCTCCTCAGCCAGTTCGGCAAGTTCTCCTCCTCCTCCTCCTCCTCCTCCCCCTCCTCCTCCTCCTTCTCCTCCTCCTCCTCCTCCTCCTCCGCCTCCTCTTCCTCCTCAGCCCAGTTCGGCAAGTTCTCCTCACAGGCTCCACCGCGGCGCACCGATGCCAGGGGCGATGGACGGGTGGCGCTGCACCGCGGAGGCTGCATGCGGGGCGCTCCTGGCCAGGCACGCCGCCTGCGGCTTGGCCGGGGGTCGTTTCCCGAGGGGGCGCGGCTGCCTCGCGCCGCCGGAGGGCTGCTGCGTGCAGTCGTCGCAGCGCTCAATGTTCCGGTGGCGGCGGCCGCGCCGGCGCCTGCAGGCGGCATGGCGGCGCCTGGCCGCCGACGCCGGCCTCGTGGGCGCGGCGGCGCGATCCGCGCGGCGGACCCCCTCGGAGCTCTTGATGCTCGCGGCGACGGCGGAGCGCAGCTTCGCAAGGCGGAGGTGGATGGCTGCGGCATGGTGATCGACGACGAGGTCGCTTCGCTCGACGACGTCGCCTGGGCAGATGGTCCGCCGCCGCGCCCGTCGAGGCCAGGCAAGGGCAAGGACAAGATAGGGGCCCGCCCACTTCACTGTCCGTGGGCATGCGTGCTCGGTTCTCCTGCGGCCCCGCGTTGGGCGTGGTTGTGGCCATGAGTCAGTCTGCGAGGCCAGCGCGAAGGTCCTTCTCTTGGAGGAAAACGATGGAGCGGCCCCTGGCCCTCCGTTCGCGGTCGCGGTCGTCACGCTCGTGCCGCTGGGGTTGCTGGCGGGAGGTGGTGGCAGGGGGGAAACGGCAGGGGGTCTCACCAGAGCGTTGCACCTGCCGTCACGAGGAGTTCGCCGTGGACGCAAATTTCTACGTGTTCTTCTGGTGTCTGGCGCTTCAGTCACCTCTGTTGCGCCAGGCTGTGCGTCGTCCTCCTCCTCCTCCTCCTCTTCCTCCTCCTCCTCCTTCTCCTCTTCCTCCTCCTCCTCCTCCTCCTCCTCCTCCTCCTCCTCCTCCTCCTCCTCCTCCTCATCCTCTCCTCCCTCCTCCTCCCTCCTCTCCTCCTCCTCCTCCTCCTCCTCCTCCTCCTCCTCCTCCTCCCTGACAGGATCTTTCTCCCCAGGGCCGCCTCGCCACCCGCCCCCCCCCCCAGGGGTTCGCAACCTGCCCAGACCTCCTCGCGCCGCGGAGGAAAGAAAAAACTCGACGACAAGGTTCTGACAAGTTTCGCCCGCCGGTGGCCCTCGCAGGACCCTGGGACTGTCAGGGAAAAGTTCGGAATGCAAAGCCAGTGCCTGGGAAGGCGTCCGGACCTTCGGGGACCCACCGCCTGGGAGAGCGATCCTTCTGGACCTCGGGAGGTGGTGGACATCGGACGGGGCTGGGACGAGGATGAATCCGTTCCAGAGCGTTCCGGAACGCTCTCAGAGCGTTCCGGGACACTCCGAGAACCCCGCGGCGCCAGAGGCATCCTCCAAAACCGCCAGGTTTCAGAGATTTTCGATTTATCTTCGTCCAATTGTTTCCTCGTCGTGGCTTCGTCTTGGGATAATGTCATGTTGGAGCCCCGCGGGGCCCAGAGGTGCCCACACCCATCGCCCCCGGAGGTCGTGGGACATCGGGCCCCCAAGCGGCAGATCCGCACTCCATTGTTTGGAGCCCACGCTGGTAATCAAGGGAGAAAAAACACCCCGACCCCGGTGATTGGCGTTTGCTGGACAGCCCTGGGCTTTTACTAAACAGCCCCGCCCTGTTCGATTCCCTCCGTGGGCGCGTTTACTAAAAGGTTTCGCTCGTCAGGGGTTCTTATTGTGAAGGCGGAGCGTCTGCTCTCTAGGTGAGAATTCCTTTCTCGCGGTTGTTCTCTCGTCAGTTCCCCGTTGTTTCCGCTTCCCGCCTGCCTCCTACCCTTGGGCTGCGAGGCTCCCAGGAGCTCCAGTCCCGCATGGCCGCGCGCTGCCCCGCCCAGGCGCGAGACGGCAAGACGAGCGGATCACCCGGCCGGCCCTCCGAGGCTGCGCAGCGCGCGCGCGCGCGAGGATCCACAACCTGGTCGAGGACCTGAAGGGCTCCATCCGCGTCTACTGCCGCGTCCGGCCCCTGAGCGAGAAGGAGAAGGGCGAGGGCAGCAAGGGGCCCGCGCCTCGGGCCCGCGGCCGCCGGCCCCTCGGGCCGCGCGGGCCCAGGGCTGGCCGCCGCGCCTCCGCGCGCGCGCGCGGCGCGCTTCCGGGGAGGGCCTCCCTCGCCCGCGGCGCGCCGTCGCCGCCGGCGGGGGCGGGCGGAGGGAGAGCCGGCGGCGGCACCGACGGCGGAAGGGCGGCGGAAGTGAACAGCTGCCCTCCTCCGCCTCCGCCTCCTCCTCCTCCTCCTCCTCCCCCTGCTCCTCCGCCTCCTCCTCCTCCTCCGCCTCCTCCTCCTCCTCCTCCTCCTCCTTCTCCTCCTCCTCCTCCTCCTCCTCCCCCTCCTCCTCCTCCTCCTCCTCCTCCTCCTCCTCCTCCTCGTGCCTGCCCTCCCTGTCGGGAAGCGGCCGACTTCGGGTCGCGCAGCGCAGTTTGGGGCGGCTGTTCTGTCGCCCCCGCGAAGCTTCCCAGGCCACGGGAGCAGCGTTGCAAAAACCGGGCATCTTCAGGACCGCAGGTGAGGGGACCCGGTTGGTGGTAGGGTTATGTCGGGCCTGTCCCCCTACAGGGGGATTTTCTACGAAAATTCAAAAATACCCCAACAACAGTCAAAAAATACTCCAAAAATGGTCTGGGGGGTATTTTTGAGTATTGTTTTGCCTTTTTGGAATATTTTTGGGGGATTTTTATTTGTTCGTCGAAAATCCCCCTGTAGGGGGACACGCCCGATATAAGGTCAGTGGTAGGGCCCCGGAGCCCCTGAATTGGCCAGAATCACTGAGCCAGGTCTGCCGTAGCTGGTACTTTTTCGGGTGGCAGCAGTTCCGGTCAGTGGAACGGGGCGGGGGGGGGCGTCCCCCGGTACGCATCACTAAACCAGGTCACTAAACCCAGTTCTGCCAACGCCCCCCCCAAAAAGAAGTGCACTTCGGTCGTCGCATAGTTGTGTTTCTCCTCAAATGATCGAGTGGTTTCCTTTCTTCTTTCCTCTTCAGGGGGCGGGCGGAAGCCCAATCTTTCTTGCGCCTTTCGACGTCATGTTTCGATATACTGCTTCCGACCCGCGGGTAAAATTGAGGCATCAGGTTGCGCGTCTCTTCCGGTGTTCAAGCCAGCAGTCTCGCGGCGCGGCGATGCAATGAGGAATCGCGCCCTCCTCCTACTCCGAGAAGGTGAGACATCAATATGTCCCTAAGGTTTCCGGAGTCGGCCACATGGATCCACGCATAGGGTTTCACTGCCGTGGCGGGTGAGAGCTCTGTGCTCTTTGTTCTTTGCCGAGCCTGAGGTATTCCTAGTGTCAGCGTGTGATTATTAAATGATGGTCTCCCCGGGGCTGATGAATAGACTCCGCGGGGCGCGAAACATTTTTTGTTATCGTTTTCTTATTCCTTGTTTTGCCGATCGGCGCGGGCCCTCGCACCCTCCCTCGCACCCCCCCCACCCCCTGAGTAGTTTTTGGCTGTTTTTGGCTCCTGTTTCAAGCCAGTGGGGTCTCCCCCATAGAACGCAATGCTGCAAACAATCGCATTAAGCAGAGGTCTGGAGCCAGAACCCCCCCCCTCCCCCCCCTTCCGCCTAGTGTCGAAACGCCGAATCAGAAAACGTTCACAATCACCCGCGCCAAGGGGTCGTCGTGTACGGGAGCCTCAAAACGAGAAATGTGATTTTAGAATTTGTTATGGGATCGCTTACATCCTAGCCGAAGTTTTCCCTTCTCAGGCTTATAACTGACGTGCCACAGTCGTCGTCGTCGTCGTCGCCGTCGTCCATTAGAAGGACGGCAGTGTGGGGCGATTCGTCTGGTCTGTCACGGTCGTCACAAAACTCACGAAATTTCAACGCGTGGGGGTTGGGGTCCCCGCGACGGCGACATAGGAAACCTTTGGGAATCCTGTCGCGGAACTTTTAATTAATGGATGCGAGCTCGTTGCCCTGAAATTCGCACACCCGGCTTCAGAGTTGAATTGAGAAACGACAGTGCGAGGGGAAGTTCATGGACCCAGGTTGTCAGAATTGGCGCCGGTCGGTTCTGATTCGTGCAGGTTATTCAGGTCTCGACGTCATCTCACGCCGCTGCTCAGAAAGCGCGGTGGTGCCAAAATGTCAAGCTACGTGCGACGTGAGAATTATTGCGGGCGTTTCACCCGCAGACGGCACATCGCAGAGGCAGGAATGTTTGGCACAGTCGGCATACAGCGATGCGGGACTTTCTCGAGTCGGACAGAACACGCAGGCGACCCGAACCTCCATCGAAAGTATCAGCGGGCCCCCATGGTTTTCACAAAACACGGCTCCCACCTCCACTCGGCACGAACGAAATGGGCACAGAAAGAATGGGTACAACGCCGAACAGCAGTTCCTGTTCATTTTGAACAGAGCTCGCTGTCCGCGCCGCCGCGGCCTGTGACAGTTCGAGACAGAAGGCCGCCTGCCCAACAGCGACCGTTGCTGGTTTGGGACAGCATTTGTTGCTGGGCATTGTACCCATCTTTTCCGTACCCATTTCGGGCGTCCAAATCCACGACCACGACGCGCCATGCACCAGCGGGAAGCACCGCCGAGCTCCTCGGACATCCGGAGCGGAGGGAGCACCTCCGAGAGGCGAGGTCCCTGGAGGCGGCACGCCCCGAGCTCCGAGGGTTCCACGGGTCAGATTTGCTGGGCCCGTTTTCCACCACCACCACCGCCATAAGTTGGAGAGGGAAGGAGGAGGAGGAGGAGGAGGAGGAGGAGGAGGAGGAGGAGGACCCCCCCCACTTCAACATATGGTGGTGGTGGTGGTGGGAAACAGGCCCATCAAGATTTGCGAGCTCCGGCAGGGAAAGCCCGAGCTGGCTCCGAGTCGAAACCACGCGGTCTGGGAGACGAGGATGGCAGGGCCCCTCCCCGATACGATGCGGCCCGATTCGATGTCGAGTGGAGCCAGCCCGATCTGGCCCGATGCCGATGTGCCGACGACCCGATGCGGCCCGATGCTCGCATGGCGATGTTGTGCCTCTTGATGCGGCCGGTCCGATTCGACCTCGATTCTGAGCCGGCGCGGCCCGATCCGATGCTCCTTCCGATCCGATCCGATTCCCCGACTCGATGCTGACTGACGCTGCGAATCCATGCGCTCGGAATCCATGCCATGCCATGGGGGGGAAGGAGGACGAGGAAGAGAAAGAGGAGGAGAAGAAGGAGGAGGAGGAGGAGGAAGAGGAGGAGCAGGAGCAGGAGGAGGAGGAGCAGCAGGAGGAGGAGGCGGAGGAGGAGCAGCAGGCGGAGCAGGAGGAGGAGGAGGAAGAGGAGGAGGAGGAGGAGGCGGAAGAGGAGGAGGAGGAGGAGGAGGAGGGCGTTCCCAGGGTGCTCAGACTCCATGCCATGCGGCGCTGAACCCCGGGGGTGCCGGCGGGACTCCGAGGTGCGTGCGCCAGCTGGATCTCATCACCGTCGAGGTCACTGGGCAGAAGAAGGGCGATCACGAGGACCGCGGTCGCCACAAGCGAGCCCACGGCCGGCCCCACGCCTCCTCCTCGTCCTCCACTCCTCGTCCTCGTCCTCCCCGTCTTGGTTGTTCTGCCGCTCGCCCTTCGCCTCCATCCGCTGCTCCCGCCTCTTCCTCCGTCTCCATCTCCTCCTCCCCCTGCTCCTCCTCGTCCTGCTCCTCCTGCTCCTCCTCCTCCTCCTCCTCCTCCTCCTCCTCCTCCTCCCCCTCCTCCTCCTCCTCCTCCTCCTCCTCCTCCTCCTCCTCCATTCCTTTTCCTTATAGATAACTCTTCCCTGTCGCACCTCGAGGCCAGTTTTTAGGGCGGGCCGGGCGTTTCGCCTGAGCCTTCCTCACACTTTATGATTCTGCAGCTTAAACAGTGACAACAGTTTCACAGATGGAGGGCGGGTCGTTTTCAAAATGTGGCTCTCGCCTTAGCGCCGCGCACATTCGTTATCAACATTTGCAAGTGCTTCACGGATTAAGGGCGGGTGGTTTTCAAAATGTGGTTCTCGCCTTAGCGCCGCGCACATTCGTTTTTAAAGAATTGCAAGAGTTTCACGGGTTGAAGGCGGGTGGTTTTCAAAATGTGGTTCTCGCCTTAGCGCCGCACACATGCGTGTCAAAACTTCGCAAGGGTTTCACGGATTGAGGGCGGGTGGATTTCAAAATGTGGTTCTCGCCTCAGCGCCGCGCACATTCGTTTTCAAAGAAATTGCAAGAGTCTCACGGATTGAGGGCGGGTGGTTTTTGAAATGTGGTTCTCGCCTTAGCGCGGCGCACATTCGCTTCTGTAAAATTTGCAAGAATGTCACGGCTTCCCACGTTCAACGTACCAGAAATGGTGTTTTGGAAGGGTTCATGATTATGCGGGCGCAACAGTTATGTTGATTCGCTGTGCTGAAGTCCAAAAACATTGAAATCCCGAGAACAATGTGTTGGTACGCTTCAGGATCTTCGAACGGTTATCTTCAAGCGAGGCAGTTCTCTCAATGGAACTGGGCCGTTGTAGGAGCCGATGGAGAGGGAGCTAGGAGGGATGGTTAATTCCAATATCGTTGATGACTCTTGGCTTTCCACTGGTCCTCCTCCTCCTCTTCCTCCTCCTCCTCCTCATCATCATCATCACCATCACCATCATCATTCATGATTTGCCACTCATCTTCAATGTCAGCAGTATCGCCATAATCTTTATCAGCATCATCATCATCATCATCAGCATCATCATCACCTTCATCATCATTAGCAGCAGCATAAGCATCAGCATCAGAATCATCACAATCATCATCACCATCACCATCACTTTCATGCTCGTCATCATAATCAGCATCATCATTATCAGCAGCATCATCATCACGTTCATCATCATAATCCTCAGCAGCAGCATCATCCGCATCAACATCAGCATCAGTATAAGCAACATCAGTGTCAGCATCATCACCCCATCATCAGCGTCATCAGCATCACTACTATCATGATTATCATCATCGTACGCATTGGCATCATCATCAGCAGCATCATCATCATCAGCAGCATCATCAGCATCATCATCAGCAGCATCATCATCGTCATCCCTTTCCTCCTGCTCCCTCCCCTCCTCCCTTACCCCTCCCCTCCCGACAAGGGAGTTGGCAGCAGGGGGACCCTGCTACACTTTCAACCGCCGGCAAGCACAGCGGGCCCTGTCCTGGCCATCGCCGCCGCGTGCGCACATTCGCCGCCGCCGTCTGCGCCACCCGCTCTCCAGTCGTATTGCCAGGAGCAGGCGGAAGAGGAGGAGCAGCACCGGCACGCGCAGGGAGGAGGAAGCCGAGAAAAGAGAGGGAGGCAAAGACCGTCAGAGCGGCGGCGTGGTCTCCGCCTGCGCCTCACCGTTGGGCTTTTTCTTGGTGCCGGCTCCGTCCGACGGCGGTGATGCGATGACGGTGTCGACGAGGATGTTGATCATCAAGGGCATGTAAAACGCCCCCACCCTGGTTTACGAGGCGCTGTGCGCTGAAACTCCTGTGGGCTGACAGGGTAAACCCTGCGTAATGTGCCGCGCCCTCGCGGCTCTGAGCTCTGGGGGGTTCCCAGGAAGTTTACAGACCACGCACTTGTAACCCAGGATAGGGTCGTTTTCCCATCCCTCAAGATCAGGAGGGGAAAAAACACAGACGCAATGAACCGCTGATCCCCGGGAAGAGATGGGAAAATATGGGAAGTGGGGGGGAAGATGGAACTCCAGAAAAGAATTGGAGAAAATACGGGGACATCCTGGGATGTGTGTCTGTCTGTTTTTGTGTGTCCCAGGGCCCCCGTCCGTTGCCCGCGACGACGGGGGCGGCGACGAGGAGCCGCAGGGCCTCAGGGTCCTCCTGGCAGTCCGTGCGCCTCTGGCTGCCAGCGCGCCCCCCGCACGGGGGGACGCAGGCCGTGGCGCGGGCGAGGCGCGTCCTGTGCTCGGGAGGGGGAAAGACACACCGACACGACTGGTCGTCGATCCCCCCGACCGACGATATGGGGAAATGCGGGAAGTTGGGGGGGAGACGAGAACCCCTAAGAGATGGAAAAGTATGGGGAATCCTGGGATGTGTGTGTACTTTTGTGTGTGGGTGTGGGTGTGTGGGTGTATGGGTGGGTGAGTGTGTGGTGTTGTGTGTTGTGGTGTTGTGTGTTGTGTGTTGTGTGCTGTGTGTTGTGTGTTGTGTGCTGTGTGCTGCGTGCCGTACGCTGTACGCTGTGTGCTGTGTATTGTATGTTGTGTGTTGTGCGTGTGGTGTCTTGTGTGTCGTGTGCTGCGTGTTGTGTGCTGTGTGTTGTGTGTCGTATGTAGTGTGTTGTGTGTTGTGTGCTGTGTGTTGTGTGTTGTCTGTTGTCTGTTGTGTGCTGTGTGCTGTGTGTTGTGTGCTGTGTGCTGTGTTCTGTGTGCTGTGTGTTGTGGGTTGTGTGCCGTGTGTCGTGTGGTGAGTGTAGTGTGTCGTGTGCTGTGTGTTGTGTGTTGTGTGTTGTGTGCTGTGTGCTGTGTGCTGTGTGCTGTGTGCTGTGTGTGCGTGGGTGGGTGGGTGGGTGGGTGTCCCTGGGCCCCGACATGTACGCGTGAGAGAGGTCGCACCACGGAGCCCGGGGCGGAGAAGCCTGCCGGGTCGTCTGCTGGTTGGAAATCGGCAGGGTCTTCTCTCGTTTCTCCGCCGAGGAGGCGGGGATGGGGGTGGCCGTCGGAAGACGCATGCAGTGGAAGCCCATGCCAAGAAACGCCCTGCTTGCCTCCAGGGTCCTCCTCCATTCCTTCTCCTTATATATATATATATATATATATATATATAACTCCTCCATGTCGCACCCCGAGGCCAGTCGTTAGGGCGGGCCGGGCGTTTCGCTTGAGACTTCCTCACCACTTATGACGCTGAAGCCTAAACATTGGCAGCAGTTTCGCAGATGGAGGGCGGATGGTTTCAACATGTGGCTCTCGCCTTAGCACCACGCACATTCGTTGTAAGAAATTGGCAACAGTTTCACAGATGGAAGGCGGATGGTTTTCAAGATGTGGCTCTCGCCTTAGCGCCGCGCACATTCATTATAAAAACGGCAACAGCTTCACGGATGGAGGGTGTGTGGTTTTCAAAATGTGGTTCTCGTTTTAGCGCCGCGCACATTCGTGTTCAACATTTGCAAAAGTTTCACGGATTGAGGGCGGTTCGTTTTCAAAATGTGGTTCTCGCCTTAGCGTCGAGCACAGTCTTCTAAAATAAAGAACAAGAGTTTCACTGATTCCCATACTTGACGTACCAGAAATGATGCTTTGGAAGGGCTTACGATTATGAGGGGCGCAACATTTACAATGGTTCGCGGTGTTGAAGCCCCAGGATTGGCAATCTGGCACGATTCAGGATCGTCAAGACGCAACAGTCAAGTCGATCCGTGACGTTGGAATCCCGAGAACAATAGTTCGGCATGCTTCAGGATGTTCAAACGGTTGTCTTCCAACGAGGCAGGTCTTTCTTTGGAAATGAACAGTTGCAGGGGCCGATGAAGAGGGAGCTTGGGGGGAGGGTTTATTCTAACATCGTTCGTCACTCGTGGGTTTACACTGGTCCTCCTCCTCCTCGCCCTCCTCTTCCTCGTCCTCCTCCTCCTCCTCCCCCTTCAACTCGTGGTGGTGGTGGTGTAAAGCAGGCCCACCACCTTGGCCCCCTCCTATCGGGACTAGCGAAACAGGTGCAATGGAGACCCATGCCAAGAAGCACCCTGCTTGCCTCTAGGGTGCCCTGGGTTTCTTGGGTTTCGATGGTTTTGCTATGGAAAGCGTGGCGTTCCCACACCATAAACATTTTTTTTGGTCGGCGGGGCGAGAGCGAACCTCTTCCGCTAAAAGCTAGGCGGGCTACGCGCAGCTTTAATTAGGGAGACAGGGCGCAGGAAGGCGGGGCCTCAGGCGGCCGGAGCAGGTGGAGCCCGGGGTGCAGGCGGTGCCGAAGAGCTTGCACACGAGAAGGTACGCCGTGGACGGTGCCGGGGGCAAAGACCCGGAAGGTGGTGGAGATGGTGTAGCCGTCAGCGGCGCGTCGCGAACACCAGCCTCAAATACAGCGGGGAAGGACGTGCCATTGACCAGGTCGACGCCCAGGAGGGAGAAGAACACCACTAAGGCGATGAGCAACGTTGTGCCACAGGATGATACGGAGGAGGCCCAAGGAGAAGAAGAACACCACGAAGGCGATGCGCAACGTTGTGCCACCGGATGATGCGGAAGAGGCACTGCCTACACCATAAACACTCCCACACCAAAAGACAAAGGGTTTCTCGTGGAAGGTTTCTTGTGGTCGAGCTCCTATTGTAAAGGTCTGACCATCGCCCTGCCAGGGGGGGGGTCACAGCTACTGCTCGGCTGGGGGGCGCGTGTTCCCCTTCCCTGCCCCAGAACCCGTTTGACTGATGCTATCAGCACTGGGGCCCCGAGGAGTTTTTTTGCCAAGCATTGTCGGATACATTGGGAGCCCATGCCAAGGAACAACCTGCTTGCTTCCAGGGTGCTCTGGGTTTCTTGGGTTTCGATGGTTTTGCTATGGAAAGCGTGACGCTCCCACACCAAAAACGCTCCCACACCAAAAGACAAAAGGTTTCTCGTGGAAGGTTTCTTGTGGTCGAGCTCCTATTGTAAAGGTCTGACCATCGCCCTGCCAGGGGGGGGGGTCACAGCTACTGCTCGGCTGGGGGGCGCGTGTTCCCCTTTCCTACCCCGGGACCCGTCTGACTGATGCATCACCCGAGGAGTTCTCCTGCCAAGGATCGCCGGAGATTCTTCTTTCCGAAGAAGAACAGCATAAACATGAACTGTTGGGGCTCCGCGCGGATGTCTTGGATCCGCGCTGGGCCCCCCCGGCGGCGCCTCCGCAGCCGCCCCTGGCGCGCTCCGCGCGCCAGGGAGTGGGGTCCAGCGCGGATCCGAGAAATCCGCGCGGAACGCCAAAAGTTTCTGTTCATGCCGGAAGCTTTCGAAAGCCGGCGAGGGCTGCTAGAACCTTGGCTGCTAAAGCGGCCCTCCCGAATGAAAAAAACAGCTTCCTGGAACGAGGCGCGGCACGCGAAAGAGTCAACGGGCTTCTTCCCGGGAGGACGGAGACAACTTCCCGGAGGTCGATTTTGGCAGCCACGGACTTACAGTCGGGGCGTCGAAGAAGGAACTTCTTTCGTCGGGGAGGGGCTCGGTGTGCCTTAATTGTTCCACACCTTGCCTAAGGTTCTCTTGAAAATGTCGATGGGACATCGAAGCCTCACTTGTGGAGAAAAGGCGCCCCGTTCCTTATCTAGGGTACCTTAGTAAGGTCAACGCCTTGACTGTAGCAGCCCTTGCCCGGCTTCCGAAGCCTGCAGCAGATCCCGCCGTCGTGCCAGCGCAGCACCGAGCCCGCGAGCCCGCCGTGCCTCCGCCTCGGCCCCCGCCTCGGCCCCGCGGGGCCTCCGCAGGCCCCCACGGGAGGCGGCCTCGCGCCGTGCGAGGCGCGCCGGCTCTGCCGAGGTCTGCCGGCTGCAGCGGCTGGAGAGCCGCATCCCCAGACCTCCTCCTCCTCCTCCTCCTCCTCCTCCTCCTCCTCCTCCTCCTCCTCCTCCTCCTCCTCCTCCTCCCCTTCCGTAGCCATTTTGGCTCAAGCCTGGCTCGGGCGCGCGAGGGCGGGCTCGAGCAATGGCGACGGTGGGCTGCCCCTCGATGTGGCGGCCAAGTTCGATGCGACAAGCCGACGCTGCACGCCTCGGTCCCTCGGCTGCTCGCCGCCTGGCCCGAGCTCGGGCGCAGCGTGCCTGCGAGGCCGCCTTACGCCTTGCTTTCGGCTCCGGCGAGCCCGGCTCCTGGCGCGACCGGGAGGCAGCGGCGCGGCCCGCGCTGCGCTGCCTGTCAGCCCGCCGGCGGATCCCGGGCGCCGCGCGTTTGCGGCGCAACGCAGCGTGGCACGCGGCTGAAGCCCCCGAGGGCGGCTTCGCCTCGGCCTCCTCCGCCGAGCTCCCTGCCGCGGCGGCAGGGCCCAGGCTCGAGTGGTGGACAGCGGAGCGGTCGGGCCTGGATATCAGCGACTCCTCCCACGCGAAGTTCGGCGACGGCGTCGTGGCCATGGACGGTGTCCAAGACGAGTCCCTGCTGCAGGGGCTCGGGTTCGGGTCGTGCTGCAACTTCGGCAAGCAGCTTGAGCCGATCGGGAGCTGGCTTGCTCCAGGGTCGTGGACGCCGCCCGACGTGGAGCTGGGCGTCGCGTTCGGGGACGGTTTCCAGGTGGCGCTCTCCCTGGCAGCTCAGCTCTTTGCAGCGGATGCTGGCTACACCTCTGCTGACGCCGTCTTCTCCTCGGTCTGCTCGGGCAAGGAGGTGCAGGGCGTTAGCGACGGGCTCCAGATGGCATCAGCTTCAGCTCGGCCATCTCCCAGTTCCGCCAGGGGAGGGTATCCAGGCGCGCTCCAGATGGCATCAGCTTCAGCTATGCCATCTCCCATGTCCGCCAGGGGAGGGTTTCCAGACGTGGCCGTTGGCCATCACGTGGGTGCCGCTCCCCGCGGCCCAGGCTGGTGGCGGGCCCGTGCGGCCATCGCCAGCGAGTGGCTGGGCTCCACGACGGACATGAAGGGCGATGCCGACGTCGAGGATGTGCGTGCTCGGCAGTCACGTGTGTGGTGTCCTGTGGGTCTTCCACCTGACCCAGGCGAGGGGTTCTTGTTCGGTCCGCCTTCTTCATCTTCGGCGTCGTTGTTTTCTTCTTGGAGTGCTTGTTGTCCGTGATTGCCCATTTCAGGATATCCAGCTTCTGGGGTTACGGCTCGTGGCGTCATATGGCATTGTTTTTTTTTCACGTGCGGTGCTTTGATTCCTGGTACGGCCTACTTGGTGCGTTCTGGAGGGGCTCAGCTGTCCGACGAGATCTACGGCGTGTGGCGTCGTGTGGCACTGTTTTTTTTTCTCGTGCGGAGCTTTGTTTCCTGGAGCGGCCCTTATCGGCACTTCTGTATGGGCTCAGCAGTCCGACGTGATCTACGGCGTTACTGGGTTGTGGTTTCAGTTATTGGATCTTCTATGACATGTTCGCCTTTTGCATTGTACTCCAACAGATGCTGGGAGCTACCGCTTTCCTGGGACGATCACGTCTTCTTCGATTTCGGCTACTCCTTCATCACTTTCCTCATTGGCCTGAGGCTCTGAGCGTTGATGTAAAAAATCCTCTTCCTCCTCCCCCTCCTCCTCCCCTCCCTCTCCTCCTCCTCCTCCTCCTCCTCCTCCTCCTCCTCCTCCTCCTTCTCCTCCTCCTCCTCCTCCTCATCGTGAGTTTCCTCCTGGTGCTGTGGGCATTGTAATCCTCCAGGGTCGTCCTCCTCTCCGACGCGGTGTTGTGGAGTCGCCTCTCCGTGGAGCTCCCCACGCTGTCGTCATCCAGCGCCGTTTTTCGGCGTGTCGTCCAGTGTCTTTGCGTCGCTCGGACATGTGCATGTTGTTTTCGGCGAGGACCCGTGAGGAGCATCCTGGATCATCTGGCGCGAAGAGCACGAGCGAAAACGAAAAGTGCACAGGGAATGGACGTCCGAGAGATGGCGAGGTGGTGTCTTTTCCATCCAGTGCCAGACGGGGCTAGGGCGAGGACAAATCCGTTCCCGAGCGATCCGGAACGCTCTCAGAGCATTCCAGAACGCTCTGAGAAGGCCGCGGCGCCCGATACATCTTTCAAACCCGCCGATTCTCAGAGATTCTCGATTAGTCTTCACACGAGTTTATCCTCGTCCTGGCTTCGTCTTGTGTCAGCCCCGGATTGGTCTCTCCTCTGGTGCAGCTGTTCGACCGCCCCCCGTGGCCCAAAGAGGCGGCCTCCAGACACCAGGATTAAGTCGGGCCTGTCCCTCTAGAGGGGGAATGTTTGAAAGTAGTCCAAAAATAGTATGGGGACGATTTTTCTAGCATTTTTGAGTACTTTTGAACATGTTTTGAATATTTCTGAGCTTTCGTCCGCCTGTAGGGGGACATGCCCGACCAAACACCAGGAGTCTCATCGAGCTCGTCCCACGACTCGCGAAGGTGTCTCCTCGCAAACGTCCGCAAAAAAACGTGGGGCGTTCCAGAATCGGGGGTGGACAGACCTCCAACCCTGACACGTCGATTAGTGAATTGTCCGTTTGCGGTTCTCGAGAGGGCGCCGCGGCCGTTATTTTCCAGGCTCGCGCCCGCCAGGTTTGGGCCCGAGGTCGTTTTCACTAAACCACGTTTTACTAAAGGGAGGTCTGTCCATCCCCGACAAAAAGGGGTCTTGCCTTCGAGGATCGCGGGAGTTGTCATGTCTTCCTCGGCGGAGGGCCACGGAGGGTCGGCGGAAGGCGGCGGGAGTGAAACGGCGGCGGCTCCGCCGGCGGCAGCCAACGGCAGCAGAAGTCGACCTCCCAAGATCAAGCAGTGGCGAAGCGTCCTGGCTCGCCTATAGCGCTACCAAACAATGTTCTAAGAACCTTTTGTGGTTTCCAGGAAATGTTCTTAGAACATTTCTGGCGGAGCCTGTCTTGGTTGAACACACCGGGCTTATGTTCTAAGAACATTGCTTTTGTTCTTAGAACAGATTTGGGTTCTAAGAAGATTTCGTGGTAGGACTATAGGAATGCCGGGACGGTCGGTCCCTGCTCAAGAAGAGACGACGACAACATTTTTGGATTAAGGGTTTCCGGAATCCGTCATATGGCTTCCCCTATGGAATAGATCGTAAATCCCTGGCGGTGGGCCCACGCCATTTGCGAGTGGTTACTTCGCGAACAGTGGAACACGCTTCCCCAAGAGTAACGAATAGAATATGGCGCAATTGTTGGCCCGAGTCGCCAGTGGGTTGGGCTGGTCAGCGCCGCCAGACTTGTCCCTGTGCCCAGCGGGAGAGCCTTGGCCTGGCTTCCCGACATCCCATCCCCCCAGGTGGGGACAGATGCCATTTCCGTCGGGCCTCGCGACATCCATCCCCGCCTCGTGGGGGCTCTGCTGATGGCGCTGAGGCTGAGGGCTGGCAAACTGGGGATGAGGATAGGTCGGACGGTGCCGAGCTACGTCTGCTTGGGAGCTTAGCTGCCTCGATACGCCCGTTTTGATACGCAACACGTACCTTGCTTAAAACGTCCATGTCGATACGATGCGTGTTGATTCCGCGTATTGGCCAACGTGTTGGCGAACGCATCGCGTCAGACTCGCGTCTTCGGTCTGCGCGTTGATCTCCGTGTCGATGCGCCACGTGTTGCGTGCTGCGCATCGGGCCAGCTTAGGTGCCGCCCAGGCAGGCCTGCTTCGGAGTGGCCGTGCTGGCCGTGCGGGCCCCTGCCCCACGCGCGTTGCAGCGCCTCCGAAGCGTGCGCGCGCCACGCTTCCCCGCCGGAGGCGGCAAAGGAGGCCCCGGACGTGTCGAAGCACGCCTACGACGCCGTGTTCATGCCCGGGACGCAGGAGGACGTCTTCGCCGACTGCAAGGACACCTCCTCCTCCTCCTCCTCCTCCTCCTCCTCCTCCTCCTCCTCCTCCGCCTCCGCCGCCTCCTCCTCGTCCTCCTCCTCCTCCTCCTCCTCCTCCTCCTCCTCCTCCTCCTCCTCCTCCTCCTCCTCTTCCTCCAGAGGGGGGTTTCTGTGTGGATGGGCTCGGAGGACCGCGCCGCGCCGCCGCTGCATCCACGACGCGGCGCAAGGGGGGGCTCTCGGCTCCCTCCACGCCGACGCCTCGCCGATGCGGCGCCGACGCGTCGCCGATGCATCGCCCAGGCCTCGTGGACGCAGCGGCGATGCGGCGCGAGCCTCCGACCCCGCCTGCTCCGACCCCATCTGGGAGGCCCCGAAGGGACCCAGGGCCTCCGCGCGCCGTGGAAGCGGCAAGACGGAGGCTCTGGGGCAGGTTTAGGGTTTAGGGTTTAGGGTTTAGGGTTTAGGGTTTAGGGTTTAGGGTTTAGGGTTTAGGGTTTAGGGTTTAGCCCCCGCCGCGCCCCGGGGCCGTCGAAGGACCACTCAGACTGAAGAACCGGATCCCGGGAAGGGGTCCAGACCTCCAGGGGGGCCGCTTCCTGCGAGCAGAATCACGGCGTCGGATGCTCGGGGGGGTCTCCAGTCGAAGAGGAAGTATAAACTTTTGGCGCTCCGCGCGGATTTCTTGGATCCGCGCTGGGCCCCCCCCGGAGGCACCTCCGGCGCCGCCCCTGGCGCGCTCCGCGCGCCAGGGAGGGGGGTCCAGCGCAGATCCAAGAGAGCCGCGCAGAGCGCCAAAAGTTTATGCTGATGGCGCTGTTCTTCTTCTATCCAGAGGCGCCAAGGTCCAGGCCAGCTTGGGACAAGGATGGAGTCGCTCCAGCCACGTTCTGGAGCGCTCTCCGAGCACTCCGGAGCGGCCGCGGCGCCCGATGCACCAAGACTTTGCGCGGCTCGCCGTGGTCCCGAGGTGTTTCCGCCGTGCCGTCGCCTTGCCGTGGCAGGGGGGTGGGGGGAGGGGAGAGGAGCAGAATGGAGAATGTGGGAAAGAGGAGTTCCGCGAGAAGGGGTCAAGGAAGAGCTGGGCAAACGCATACAGGAGGCGGTCGGCGGGGCAGGAAACGCAGAAGACACACCCATCCGAAATTATGCCGGGCTTCTCGGCGGGGGGAAGAGAGCATTCAGGCAGTCCCGGTGCACAGAACCCACTCGTCCTGTTGATGTTGCCATCGCACATCGACATTGTGAGAAGTTGGCGCAAAGGAAGCGACGGAGGCAAAGAAAAAGAAGAAGAAGAAGAAGAAGAAGAAGAAGGAGAGAGACGAGTACACAGAGAAGGAGGAGACGTAGAACGAGAAGGAGGAGGGGGAGAACGAGAAAGAGGATGAGGGGGAGGAGGGAGGAAAACGAGAAGAAGGAGGGAGGAGAGCGAGAAGGAGGAGGAGGAGGAGACGGAGAACGAGGGAGGAGGACGAGAAGGAAGAGGGGGAGGAGGACTGGGACGGCAGGGAGGCCGAGACGCAGACGAAGGGCAGGGGAGCGGACAGGCCCGGGGCTACACCAGAAGCAGCAGCAGCAGCACGGGCAGGCGCGGGAGCGGGGGCGAGAGCTTGGCATCGCTCGGACGTGTGCATTCTCTCTCGGCGAGAGCTCCCGAGGAGCATCTTGGAGCACCTTTCGCATGGAAACACGCACGAAGCCGAACAAATGCACGGGGGAGTGGACGTCCGAGCGACGGCAAGGGAACAGCTGAAACGGAGGAGGAGGAAAGCACGAGGATGCTGGGGACGAGGACGCGGCAGGAGGCAGGGGGAGGACGACGAGGGGCAAGAGGCCAGATGAGGACGATGACGGCGGTGACGACGACGACGACGACGACGACGACGACGACGACGACGACGACGACGAGCAGGACAGGGGCCGAGGACGAGGGCGAAAATGGGGAGGACGAGGGAATCAGCGACGCACGTGGAGGAGGAGGAGGAGGAGGAGGAGGAGGAGGAGGGGGAGGAGGAGTAGGAAGAGGAGGAGGAGGAGGAGGAGGAGGAGGAGGCGGCGGAGGAGGAGGAGGAGGAGGAGGAGGCGGAGCGGAGGGCGGCGTCTGTACGACTCTTGCGCCTTCAGGCACCAGGCACCAGGCGGAGGGACGAGGAGGTCAGAGGAGGTTAGAGGAGGGAGGAGGAGGAGGAAGAGGAGGACAAGGAGGACAAGGATGAGGAAGAGGGAACAGGGAGGTGGAGGCGTGGGATGAGAATGGAGAGGACGAATTGGGGAGCAGGCCCCGATCCTGTCCGCGCGGGCCCCAGTGGAGGGAGCAAAGGGGGGGGGTGGGGGGCGGGGTGAGCCTCCAGACACAGCCCAAGCCAGACGAGGAGGAGGAGAGGCAGGAGCAGGAGGAGAAGGGAGGCAAGGGGAACGAGAGGGAGGAGGACGAGGATGGGGAGCCGCAGGAAGACGGCGAGGAGGAGAGGGGTGAGAGCGGGAGAGGGGGGGGGTGGAGGACGAGGGGAGGGCGGAGGAGGAGGAGGAGGGCAGACAGATGCTCGTGACGAGGGAAGGCGCAAGAGCACCATGGGATTGGACCAGGCATTCGGTGCACAGTCGCAGCAGTGTTGGGTGGACGCCAGCGTGCCGCATGTTGTTGGGTGGACGCTAGCGGTTCACGCTGTGCTCGCAAGCGAAATCTGCATCCAGTGCAAGGGCGCGAACGGCCTTGCATTAGGGTTGCCCACCGACTCTCCAGCTTCAATTCCGCCCGTGGCGTCACGTTGCGATTGGCCCTACGTGATCATGGCCGTTGTACAGTAAGAGTAAAATCTGCATCCAGTGCACGTCGGCAGTAGGGGGCGGGAGCGAGGAGCGGGAGGAGTGGCGACAGCGGCGGCAGAAGGAGCGTGGCCCGGCAAGCTCTGCTCCCGCCCCAAATCCTGACTGCCGGAAGCCCCCCCGGAGGCCTCCAGAGGCACAGCATGAAGGCCTCTGAAGGCTTCCCCGGCGGCGCCTCCGACGCCGCCATTGGCGGAGGGGCCCCAGCTCAGATCCAAGAAATCCGCGCGGACCGTCAAAAGCTTATGTTTATGAGTTGTTTCTTCCTCCCTCCTCACTCCTCCTCCTCCTCCTCTTCCTCCTCCTTCTCCTCCTCCTCCTTCCCCGTCGGCGCCTCCGACGCCGCCACTGGCAGAGGGAGCCCCAGCTCAGATCCAAGAAATCCCCGCGGACCGTCGAAAGCTTATGTTTATGAGTTGTTTCTTCCTGCTCCCTCCTGACTCCTCCCTCCTCCTCCCTCCTCCCTCCTCCTCCTCCTCCTCCTCCTCCTCCTCCTCCTCCTCCTCCTTTTCCTCCTCCTCCTCCTCTTCCCCGGCGGCGCCTCCGACGCCGCCACTGGTGGAGAGGGGGCTACAGCTCAGATCCAAAAAATCTGCGCGGACCGTCAAAAGTTTACGTTTATGCGTTTGGTTATTCCTCCTCCTCCTCCTCCTCCTCCTCCTCCTCCTCCTCCTCCTCCTACTCCTGTTTTTATTCCTCCTCCTCCTCCTCCTCCTCCTCCTCCTCCTCCTCCTCCTCCTCCTGTTTCTATTCCTCCTCACTCTTCCTCCTCCTCCTCCTCCTCCTCCTCCTCCTCCTCCTCCTCCTCCGGTTTTTACTCCTCTGGTAAGACGTTTCCTCGCGTCCCCCCATCGACCCTCCGAGGTCGAGGGCGAAGCTCCGCGGGAGGGCCCCCCCCGTTCAGAGAGCCGCATGAGCACGATCTCGACGCTGTTGGCGCCGGCGTCGTCGGCGTCGTCGTCGGCGATCGGCGTCGTCCGTTCGAAGAAGAAAAAAATGGCATTCGCAGAAGCATGAAACTTTTGGCGCTCCGCGCGGGTTTCTCGGCTCCGCGCCGGGGCCCCCCTGGCGGCGCCTCCGGCGCCGCCCCTGGCGCGCTCCGCGCGCCCGGGAGGGGGGCTCGGCGCCGATCCAAGAAATCCGCGCGGACCTCCGAGAATTTACGCTCACGCCGCATACGCTCCTCTACGATGGGGGCGTTGGTTAAGGAACGTGCCCAGGAGGCTTCGGGCCCCGGAGAGGAGTCCTTGTCCGAGAAGGGCGGCGGCGATATCCGTGGCCAGTCCACGATCGAAGCTCCGCTGGCTATTCGAGACCCTGGGTTCCTTACCCCTTGGTCCCTCATCCAACGCCCTCACCTCGGGTCGGGCGAAAGGGGGGGATTGGGAAAGGGGGGGTTACGAAATTTGCTGCACGCAGCTGGTTTCGGCCCCGCCGCTGGGCCCATTCCTCGATACATGGGCGCCTCCCGGCGCCCGGCGCCGGGAGGCGCCGGGAAAATCAGCTACGTGAGCTGATTCTCAAACCCCCCCTTTGCTATCCCCCCCTTTCGCCCGACCCGATCACCGTGCCCCCGCCGCCGCCGCCGCCGGGCGGACGCCCCGGCCGGCGCGGGAGGAGCTGGTGCAGTCGGTGCTGGACGGCTACAACGTGACCGTGTTCGCGTACGGCCAGACCGGCGGGGGCCGCCCGCTCGGTATGGGAGCGCGCGGGGCGCGGGCAGGGCCGGGGGGGGTGGAGCACGGAGCTTTTTCCCTGTGTGTGTGTCGTGTGCCACGCCTCCGGGCGTGGCAAGAAGGGGGGAGGGGGGGGGGGGAAAGGGGGGAAGGGGGGAAGGGGGGGGGCAGGGGGGGGAAGGGGGGAGGGAGGGGGGGGAAAGTTCCTGCCGCTGGTGCGCTGTCGCGGGCGGCGAAGGAAGAGCAGAGGGCGGAGCAGGAGAGGCGGCGGCGCGGCTGCTGCCCAGGGGCGGCGGAGGCGGCGGGGGCGGAGGAGTCTGCGGAGGAGGGGCCGTGGGCTTAGACCGGGGCCATCACCACCATCACGCTGAATCTTTCATGTTAGCACACAGAATTCTGGAAGAGGCCGCATGCGCATTATCATCATCATCATCATCATCATCATCATCATCATCATCATCATCATCATCATCATCATCATCATCATCATCATCATCATCATCATCCTCATCATCCTCATCATCCTCATTATCGTCATCCTGCTCATCCTCCTCATCCTCCTCATCCTCCTCATCCTCATCCTCCTCATCCTCATCATCCTCATCATCATCATCAGCATCAATCATCAGCAGCATCATCATCAGCAGCATCATCATCCTCATCGTCATCATCAGCAGCATCAGCATCACCATCACCGTCACCATCATCATCAACATCATCAGCATCGCCGTCGTCATCATCATCACCGTCATCGACATCGTCATCAGCAGCAGCATCATCTTTATGAGTAGCATGATCATCATCTTCGTCATCAGCATCATCTTCCGACTTTCTTGTGGCAAGAAGTTGTCACTTCACGGCTTCGACATCACTGGACAGCCTTGTCAAGGCTATACACGCAGAGTCGGTTTCACCACACATGATTGTCAAAGCAGAGGATCATCATTATCTTCGGCTTCTTCTTACATTTCTTCGGCAAGAAGCTGTTGATCCCCTTTTTCAGCTACCTCGTTGGCTCGGTACCCTACGGGCTGACCACTGTCATCGTCAAATTCTTCGATTTGGTTCGTAAGATACCAAGTGTTGGCAAGGAGCTGTTAACCCCCTGCTACCGCCACATCGTTGGCTTGGTATCCTCTGGGCTGACCACTGCCATCGTTACTCTTTCGGGCTCGCGGATGCCGACCCGCGCGAATCAATGTGCCAAGTGCGTGGGGCCTTCCGGCATCGTAGTTCTGCTCGCCTGTCTCTGGGAAGTTCGCCGGGACCCGCCGCGGAGACTCCAAGAGACTTCCGTCCACGAAGAATCGGGAGGGGAAAAAACACACAGACACAATGAATCCTCGATGCCCCAGAAAATATTGGAAAATATGGGAATTGGGGGAGAAGACAAACACCCAGAAAAGATTGGAAAATATAGGGAATCTTTTTATTTGTGTGTATTTATTTGCGGCACGAGCTCTGCCGGGAGCTCGCGTCGAGCTTCAGACTGGGTCGTCGTCATCTTCCCGACGGCCCCGGCAGGCCCCCCCGACCCCCCCGAGGCAGAGTCCCTGCGCCTCCCCGCACGCAGGCCGAGCGCACCCCTTTGCCCGCTCCGAGCCGGGCCCGCCGTGGCTGCCGCGCGGGCGCCTGCCCCGCCGGCCCCTTCAGAGAAGAGCGGCACGAGCTCTGCCGGGCCCCCCTCGCCTGGCCGCGCGCCGGGGGCGGCGCCGGCACGCGCCGCCGGGGGCGTCCCAGCGCCGACCCGAGAACCAGGAGGGAAAGAAACACACAGACACAGTGAATCGTCGATTGCCCAGAAGAGATGGGGAAATATGGGAGAGGGGGGGGAAGGCCAGAACCCAGAAAATATAGGAAAGTATGGGGATCTGGTTGTTTGTGTTCATTTATGTGTGTGTGTGTGTCCCAGTTCCCCTTCAAAGAAGTCCGCCCGGAATCGGGAAAGTGTGCGGTCATGCCGCTGCCCCTTCTTATGATCAGCAGTCGCTGTGTTACTTTCCTAACGTACAGTGGTCGCATGATTCGAATGATTGCTATTACTCGCCTTCGTCGTCGCATTATGCTTATTGTTGCTCTTAGTGCTGCGATGTGGATCAGCAAGTTCGGCGTTTACGAGTGCTATGTTAGCCAGCGTGGACCCCAAGTAGTGTATGTCCAGCCATAGATGTGGCGCACGCAATCGATGTGGCGCAGTTGATTTTTACGAACGAGTTGGCAAGTTCTGCACGCTTCACGGAACCCCACCAGCCCATCCAGAGACGAAGACCAGAGGAGTTGCCTCGATCAGGGAAGTGGGCAGCACGCAGAGGACGGGTCCCTGGGGGTCTCTTGCGAGCCTCTTGGAGCCCTCGTAAGTTCCTCTTGGGGGCCTTGGGAGCGCTCTTGGGGCCATCTTGGAGGACATCGCTCAAACAAGAGGGGAGCTTGAATCAGCGCCGCCCCTCAGGAGCCCAAAAAGTCGCCTCTTGGGGTGCTCTTGGAGCGCTCTTGCATCTTGGGGGCCATCCTGAGGCATCTTGGGATATCTTGAGCCGTCTTGGAGCTCATCTTGGGCTCTCCGAGGTGCCTTGGAGCCATCTTTGGCCATCTTGGACGCTCCAACCCCTCGTGGGGCCCCCCGTCCAGGTCCACGGGAGGGGGTAGGGGGAGGGGTCAAGCTACCCACCCGCCCGCAAGCCGTCTAGCTCACTCCCACGATAACTCCGAACACATGTGTTACACCCGAGCCTGAGCATGTTCAGCGGTCGTCCTTGGATTGACAGGGACTGGGAACCAAAGCCGACCCCAGGTGCGCGACGCTTGGACGAGATGCGCCACGCGTGCCAGGGGCGCCTCGCGCGCCAGGCACCCCTGGGGCCCGAGCGTGCCAGGCACGGCTGGTGCGCCAGATACGCCACGTGCTCCGAGTGCACCCGGTGTGCCGCACACCCCAGCCGCGCCAGGTACGCCACGTTCGGGGCACGTGCAGGGTGCGTCAGGTGCGCCTGCGCACGTGACAGCACACATCGGGAAACATGTCGGCCCCCGCCATCCTTGTCGAAAACCAATGCCCATCATTGTGTCTGGTGGGTCTTCGCACAGCAGGCCACGCGCCACCACCCCCGCCGCCCCTCACAAAAACCACTTGACAGTGATCGCGGGATGGCCGCGCATGATCCAGATTTTGCCGCGAGGTGCGTGTTGCATGGTCTTTTTGTCAGGGATGGTAGCCCTGCGCACAGCAAGGAATATGCTGACACCCCCGCCGTCCTTGTCAAAAACAATACAAAAGTGCTCGCGGGCCTCACGAACATGACTGAAGACTTTGCCCAAAAGTGTGTTTTGCATTGTTTTTCGACTGGGCCGCATCGGATTGGCCGCGCATGCTCCCAATGTGGAGGCACAGTGCGGTGCGCATTGTTTTTTTGATAGGGATGGCGGGGGGCGAGCCCGCCTGGAGTCGGCATGGTTTCAGGTTGGCCGCTGGCCGGGTAGGGGAGGGGTGCATACTAAGAAGGAAACGTTGCTCGCCCCTTCCCGAAGGGGAAGAGGGGCAGATAGAAGACAAAACACCCTAAAGCACCTACGCCCTAAAGGGCTGGTGGGATCCCACGCTGTTGCAAAGATCCGACCCGCCCACCCGCAATTTGGTTTGCAAAACCCATGTGGCTGCGATTACGATGAGTGTTTGGCGTTGGCCAGCGCATCTCTACGGCCGCGCTAGCCCGGGCATGTTCGCGCGCGCAGCGGCCAGCTAGTGCGGCGCGACCGACGTGGCCGCGGCGGCCCTGACCGTTGGGCACTACCCAGCGGGCACTTCAGTGCGAGTCGGTGACTTGGGCGGGCGCGGCGGTATCATGGCAATGCAGGCAACGATAGACACGATTATGATAATAGCGATGATGGTGACGATGGTGGCGATAACGACGGCAAGGCCACTGACGGCGCCGATGTTGATTACACCCGCCGATAACGATGACGATGTCCTCGCGTCGGCGATGAAAGTTTTTTGAAAGAGTTCGACATGCGCGCGCGGCCGACGCGCGCGAGTGGCCCGTGCGGTGTTTTTTGATACGGATCGCCCACCACCACCCCCGCCCCGATGTACCACGTACTAGTGCGAGGTAAATGCCCTGCCGCCCCGTGCTCGCTTGAAGAGGCCCCCTGGCTACCACCCCGTGCACTAATGCCCCGTCTGCAGGGGCTTGGACCTTTGGGATTTTTTCTGTCCCCACCGCAGGCGAGGGCGCCAGCGTCGAGTGAGGTCCGAGCGGGCCGCGCAAGAGCCGAATCGCCTAACGCCGACGGGCCGGCGACCTCAGCAATGGACCTCCTGGGAGTCGACACCATGAAAAAGTCGGGGCGTCGGGAGACTGGGAGAGGGGGAGGGGGGGAACGAGCTCTGCTGCGTGCGAGCAGCTGGTCTCGGCGCCCCGCCGCTGGACGCACTCCTCGGCACGCAGGCGTCTGGGGCGCACGCGCGCGGGCGCCGCGAGGGCGAGCAGGCTGCGCAAGCCGAGTCGCGAACCCCTCGGAGGCGACGAGAAGGGCGAATAGTTTGGGGGGCGGGAAGTACACGTGTTTGCCGAGGGGCCTCGCCGAAGGCCTGGATCATCGGCGCCCCTGGATACATGCGTTGCTCTCCCCAGGACTATTCGCCCCCATCGTCGCCCTCGAGCCCCGTTCCCCCCGGCTCGGCGGAGGCGCCATGGGCGGGCATATATGGCACGCCTTAGCCGAGGAGCCTCGCCGAAGACAGGGGCGGTCGGAGCGCCAGGGGGCATGTGATGCTGGTTTTTGGATTCAAAAAGCTCGTTTTTGAATTAAGAAAACTTGGTTTTGTATTTAAAAACTGGTGTGATTTCAAAAACCTCACCTCCCTCCCGGGCTGTCATCGAAGAAGAGAAGCCGCCATGAGCAGAAGCATTTGGCGCTCCGTGCGGATTTCTTGGATCTGCGCTGGGACCTGGCGGCGCCCACGGCGGCTGCGCGCGCCAGGCGGGGGGGGGCCCAGCGCGGGTCCAAGAATTCCGCGCGGAGCGCCGAAAGTTTCAGTGAATGCCAGTTATTCTTCTTATTATTCTTATTAGTATTATTATTGTTCTTCTTATTATTATTATTATTATTCGTATTCCTCTTCTTCTTCTTAGTAGTATCATTATTATTATTATTATTATTATTATTAATATTATTATTAGTAGTATTATTATTAGTATTATTATTAGTATCCTTCTTCTTCTTATGATTCTTCTTCTTATTATTCTTCTTCTTCTTCTTCTTCTTATTCTTCTTATTCTTAGTATTCTTCTTCTTCTTATATATGAGTATGATTATTAGTGTTCTTCTTCTTCTTCTTCTAGACCCGCCCCTGGTGCAGCCGCCGACCTCTGCTACCCCCCCCCCCTTGTCGCCCGATGCGGGCGGGGCGGCCGAGACGCACCCGCCCCCCCCAAAAAAAAACAAAAAACGCGCGCGCGGCGTCTTGCCGAGGCAAGACGCACACCATGATCGGCGTGCCGGGCTCCGCGGACCTGGAAGGCGACCGCGCCTCCCCCGCGGCGCGTCCCTGCGCTCCGCCCCTCTGCCGCCCACCCTCTCTCCGCCGCGGCCCCCGGCCCCGGCGTTCGGCGGCGAGGAGGAGGGGGAGGGGGAGGAGGAGGAGGAGGAGGAGGAGGAGGAGGAGGAGGAAGAGGAGGAGGAGGAGGAGGAGGAGGAGGGGGAGGAGGGGGGGGAGGAGGAGGAGGAGGAGGAGGAGCGGAGGGAGGAAGTCGGGAGGAGGAGGCCCTGTCAGAGGGCGGGGGGTCCCCTCAGCAGCCCCCGCGCCTTCCAGGCCTCGGAACAGATTAGCGAACGCATGCCACATGCATCCGTCAACGCCGCCCCCTCCCCCCAATGTTCAAGGTTGGCGGTGGGTCTGATGAGATGCACTTCGACCGCAGTCTCCCCCGCGCGTGCCAACATTGAGTTTGGGGGGGAGGGGGGGTGTTGAGTAATTGTTTCCCTCTACCGTCTGAAAGAGTTCTGGCGTCCTAGGGGAAGGCGTAGAAAAGTTGTTCAGCAGGCCGTGGGACTGCCGAGCCTGCTGAGAAGGCCTTCTTCTTCTCACTTTCCCCCCTCGCTCGCCGCCGGGAGGGGAAGAGGGAGGAGCGGTGAGGTCTGGCATGGCAAGGGCTCGCTTCCGCTCGAAGACCCCTGGCATCCTGGCCCTCTCCAGCCTTGCGGCCAGTTGTGAGCCTGATCAGCATCCCGGTGCTCCAGCGACCCGATGCGGCCTGGTTTGTGCATGGTGTTGCTGTGCATTATGGTTCGGCCGATGCGATCCGATCCCAGCCCCGTGCCGATGCAGCCCGATCCGGGGCACATTCCGATTCGACGCTCAGAACGCGCGAGGGCGTCTGAGAAGTCCCACCGCCTTCTGAGAAGGCCTTCTCCTTCTCACTTCCCCCCCCCTCGCTCGCCACCAGAGGCCTCGACCCAGTGCCTGGGACGGGCTTTTCATCCCGAGTCGTTGTCTGACGGTCCCGAGGCCCTGTAAGGGCCCCAAGAAGCCGAAAACGTGGAAAAATCCTCCGTTCGGATTTTTCAAGACTGCGCTGGGCCCCCGCGGCCATCTTTTGAGCTATCGTGCGTACGACAACGACGTGGTGGTGCGCTTGGAGGTGGTGTGGTCGGCACAGAGAGTGCAGCTCCACACTTATGCTTGCAGGGCAGAAAGACGGCCCTCTCGACCAATCTGATACCGAGCGAGTGAGCAGGGCCTTCAGCGCCCTCTTTGAGAAAAACGGCCTGGAGCTCATCGCCCCGAGCGTGGCATCAAGCTTCGAGTCCCAGCAGATGAAAAGGACCCTCGAGTACTCGCGGTTCCTGGTGGAGCTCATGTTGTGCGTGCCGTAGCGCGGGTTCGGTGTCTCCAGGCCGTTCACCAGACACGGAATGATGCCGAAGGAGTTCATGATGTCGATGTTGATCTCACGAGTTCCGTTATTTACAAGAATTGTATGTGTTCGTTGTCTTTTAAAGACCAACTGCTCTTCTCCATTTTTCGTGGCGGAGCTCTGCCAGTCGCACACCAGATTGCGTAATGATGAGTGCCGGTGCAGCTGTCCGTTCCCGAGTACCCGACATCTCCCCCAGGAGTGTCCACACGTCGAAGGTCGCAGGAGTCAGATCGCATCCGAGATGCAGCTCAACCTGTCCTTTTTGTCCTCGGCTCTGGGAGTCACCACCAAAAGTGGGTGGACATGTTGCAGCGGCTCGCCAGATCCTGGTGTTCGCTCGCGTCTGTTGATTGGGGCTTGCAAGCTGGAGATCCACATGTTACCTGAGAGCTTCACGCCCAGAGAGCTGGTTGCTCATTCGTGTCAGCGGAGGAGGAGGAGGAGGAGGAGGAGGAGGAGGATCTTGGTCGAGATTCTACTCCAGAGTTCGGGTGTTCCTCCCTCGGTCGCACGCTCGTGCCCGGAGCCAATGTGGCTGTCACCCCGACGGCTGCTCCTTGGGCTCCTTCTGCACCGCTCGGCGGTGCCAGTCTCGCAGGAGGGCTGGCGTCGCAGTCCGCCCTCCCGCTGTCCCCACTCGCTCAGGTCTGCTAGTGACTCACCTCCGCCTCCTCCTCCTCCTCCTCCTCCTCCTCCTCCTCCTCCTCCTCCTCCTCCCCCTCCTCCTCCTCCACCTCCTCGTCCTCCTCCTCCTCTTGGCCTCAGATCGGTTGCCGACTATAATGCAGCTGAGATCCTACAGCCGCGGGCCCGCGAGCTCACCGCGTTGAGTTGCCATATCGTTCATCAGCTCCGTGCCGAATTGGCGTGTCGCCCACCTCTCTTCGGCACCTATAGCGTTACCACACAGGCTGGGCATTCGGCCCTCTCGCATGCCAGCCTCAGGGGCGTGCTGGCGTTGCCCCCCCGACCCCTTCTCGCATGACCCGCTCAGTATCACACGCTCGCAGCACGAATGGCTTGAGCCAGGATGAGCGGCACCGAGTGTTGTCCCTCGCACGCTTTGGTGCTATACGAACTTGTGAGCACCAGAGTCAGGACGAGAGGGAGCCATATGATTCCACACATAGTCTCACGCAGGCAATAGGTAGTATAGTGGTTGCATGACGTGTTCCCCTCAGGCTACGTGGATTCCTCCTCCTCCTCCTCCTCCTCCTCTTCCTCCTCCTCCTCCTCTTCTCCTCCTCCACCCCCCCTGTACCCCCCGACCTATTTGTCAGGGACGGCGGGGGTGTCAACACATCAGGGCTACCATCCCTGACAAAAAAAACATACAAAATGCACCTCGCGGCTAAAGCTGGATCGTGCGCGGTCACCCCGCGATCGCTGCCAAGTGGTGGAGTATGGCCTGTTGTGCGCAGACCCGCCAGACACAATGATGGGGGCCGACATGTTTCCCGATGTGTGCTGCCACGCGTGCAGGCACACCTGACGCACACTGCACGCGCCCCGAAAGTGGCGCACCAGGCGTGCCTGGCACGCTCGGGCTCCACGGGTGCCTGGTGCGCGTGGCGCGCCTGGCACGCATGGCGCACCTCGCCCCAGCGTCGCGCAAATGTGCTCGGTTTTGGTTCCCAGCAGCTGTCCATCGAAAGACGACCGCTGAACATGTTGAGGCTCGTGTGTTACTTCTGTGTTGGGAGTGCGGGTGGGAGTGAGCTAGACGGCTTGCTATCTAGGAGGGTGTCTTGACCACCCCCTACCCCGCTCCCGTCAGGGAGGGGAGAGGCGGAGGGAATCGACTTGATTACGTCGTTTCTTTTACGACGGTTCCTTCCTCTTTTCGTTTCTAGTTGTCCTTGGGACTGGCGAAGATGACGACAAGACGACGAAGATGAAGACGACGACAGCGTCTCATACACGCCGACTGGGTCGGCGGATTTGGGCTCCTACTGGGACAGCTTAGAGGCATCTTGGGCCTGGCAGATTGGCGGCGTCCCCGTGGGAACTTTCGGGCAGCACAGGGCGGCCAGGGTGCCGAGGCACGCCTGGCCTCGGTGGCGCCGCGACCCCGCCTGGTGGGCAGTCGAAGGGTGGCAGGATTTGGAGAGACGGGAGGTCGGAAAAGAGAGAGAGAGAGAGGGCAAGATCCAGCAACAGCCCCGCAGCCTGGCGCCCCCACGGGAGAGCGCGAGAGAGGGAGAGGATAAACAGTGCAAGAGAGAGAGAGACCCCACCCAAAAAGAAGTGTAACAAAAGATGGCGAGAGAGAGAGAGAGAGCGAGGGTGAGTGGGGACCTGTGAGGAGGGGAAGAGAGAGAGAGAGAGACAGGCATCGTCCCTCGGACGATCAACGAGCTGTTCGGCAAGATGGCGGCGAACGCCGAGCACTGGAAGTACGAGCTCAAGACAGCGGTGATGGAGACGCTGCCGCTGCAAAGCCTTCTGCCGACACATGTGCTTGCCGCATCGCGACGCTGCCGCTGTCGGTCGCGCCGCGTGGGCTCGCTCACGGGTCGCCGAGGGGCAAGCACGTCGCCGGCGTTGCCCCTCCTCCTCGCGCGGCCCGAGCATGGCATCTGGGCAGCCCCTCGCCATCCGCGAGCGCCATCGCCGCAGCGCGGGGGGCGCTCTGAGGTGGCACCTCGTGGCCCCTCTCGAGCGGTGTCCTGCCCCACGCGCCCGCGCGCTGTGCAACCTTCGTCGCCCCCGCGAGGCGCGGCTCCGCGGCAGCGCCCGCCGCTCCCCAGGGGGGGGCCCGCCCGGACCTGCGGCGTCGTGGTCTTCGGGGGCGGCCAAAGAGGGGGTTGATGACTGGGGGGGGGGGGGCATCATGGCGGGGGCCATGATATTTCCCCAGATTTCACGGCGGCGCCCCTTCTCATTTCATGACGCTCCTGGCCTCCCCCGCTGGGCCGCGCACGTGCCGCCGGTCACGATTTGCACCCCCCCCCGCTTGGACGCCCCCGAGATCTGTCCGCAGCGTCGACCTCCACAAATCAGGAGAGGGAAAAAAACACACAGACACAACTAAAATCCTCGATTCCCCAGAAAATAGGGGAAAATAGGGGAAGTGGGGGGGGGGAAGACAGACACCCAGAAGATATGGGAGAATATGGGGATTATTTTTCTTTGTGTGTATTCCAGATTTCGTAATAAAAGGGAGGGGGTCTCATTTCGGGGGGGGGGTCTCTTCCAGCTATCTTGGAGGGCCTGGGGGGTCTGGGGACGATGTTTTGGAGGGTCCTCCCGCGGGGGAGGTCTGAAATGGCTTGTCTTGGAGGGTCCAGACCCCCTCCCTTTTGTTACGAAATCTGGAGTATATATTTGTGTGCCCTGGGGCCCCTTCCACAAAGGTCGGGGCCTGCCTGGGGCTCTCCGCCACCGCGTCGGGCGGTGTCCCTCGGGGCCCGCGGAGGGCCCCCAGGGGATGGGCCTGTCTTCCGCCATCGCCACCACAAGCTGGAGGGGTGGGGGGGACCTCCTCTCCTTCGTCTTCCTCCTCCTCCTCCTCCTCCTCCTCCTCCTCCTCCTCCTCCTCCTTTTCCTCCTCTCCTCCTCCTCCTCCTCCTCCTCCTCCTCCTCCTCCTCCTCCTCCTCCTCTTCCTCCTCCTCCTCCTCCTCCTCCTCCTTCGTCTTCCTCCTCCTCCTCCTCCTCATCATCATCATCATCCTCATCCTCCTCATCCTCCTCCTCCTCCTCATCCTCCACCTCCTTCCCCCTCCAACTTCTGGTGGTGGCGGTGGTGGAAAACAGGCCCATCACCAGAGGCAGGAAGTGGCCCACTAAAAAAATGCTTCGTCGGCGGCGGGGCAGAGGCGGGAGGCGAGTCGGGGCAACCAGAGGGCTGACTGACCCCAAGCACGTCCGTCGTGACTGTTTTCACGACGCGAGCGGGCTTGGGGATGAAATCTAAAAGGGCTCCCTGGGCTCACGCTGGCGGATGCAACGGCCCACGGCAGCAGCACTGCAGCAGGACCAGGACCGCAGCGGCACTTCGGCATGCCTTGGCCGGGGCCCTCTGCGATTTCCCCGAGCGCCCGCGCCGTTCCGGCCGCGCTTGTCGATGGCTCCGTCTGCGCATCGTGCGGCAGTCTGTGCTCTCGCTGCGCACGCGCACGTCGTCGATATTTCACTTGCTCGTCAGATTCGCGGTCGGTGACTATCAGGTTTCGCGGGGGAGGCGAACGAGAGAGAGGCGGCGCAAGAAGGCAGAGAACGGCGAGCCGCCGGTAAGCTTCGTCCAACGCGCTCTGATGGTGCAGCACCCTGTCCAATCGTGGTTCGATCCGAAGGTCGTGTGCGTAGCTCGCAGACGCGCCAGATGTCGAAGGCCGTGCTTCACGGAGGAGAGGGGCGTGGAGCTAGTTGTGTGGCCCCGGTCTTGCCCACGCCTCGAGGTATCGCTGAAACCTTGCTGCGCAGAACACATGTCGAGCACGTGTGGCCATCGTAAGATGCGCAAGAGATGGGGTGGAGGATGAGGATGAGGACAATGGGGAGGCAGAGAGGAGGAGAAGCAGCAGCAGGGGATGGGAACGAAGGAGGAGGACATCATGGGGGGGGGTGGGGGAAGAACGCGTCAAAAGGAGGGGGAACGGGAGGGGGGGGGGGGGGAAAGAGGAGGAGGAGGGGGAAAGAACGGAGAGATCGAGGTTCCAGGTCCGGCTACGTCCTATGGGCCGCAGTGGGAGGAACGGATGAGGAAGGCGGAGGGTACAGGAGGAGGGGGATATGCGAGAGAGGAGACGCGCTTGCGAGAAGCCGTTGCACCCCCTTCCTCCTCCTCCTCCTCCTCCTCCTCCTCCTCCTCCTCCTCCTCCTCCCCCTCCTCCTCCTCCTCCTCCTCCTCCTCCTTCACGTAATCCTCCTGCTCCTGCTCCTCCTCCCCCTCGCTCGTCTACTCAGGACTCGAGGTTTTCGTTGTTCACCAGCTGGCATGGGCCGGGTAGATTCGCATACGGTGCGCTCCATTCAGAGCATTATGTATGGAGAAAATGTGCAACATTGTACAAGGGTGGCCAAGCAGCATGTATGATCAATACAGAGGTGATGCGTCATTGATGCCTACTTATTGCCGACAGGAGAGTCAGCCACAAAGGATGGCAAAACTGCTGTTACCTGTAAACCATTGGAGCGCACAATCATTCAATCATAGAGTCACGACCTTGAATGTTGCTGGGTAGCTCGCAGCATCGGCAAACCCATGGGCAAAGCAGTTTCATTGTGCACGAAGCTTGCGCACAAGAACAAATTGCACCGAAGACGTTTGGGCTAAGTATGGCATGACCGATCGTTGTGCGACTCGTTTAAGCATGATCATGGTTCGGCGGTGGACGAACCTCCCTGTAGTAAACCTCCATTTAGTGAAAACGACCTGGGACCGAAACCGACAGACCTGGACCCGCAAAAATGACGGCCGCGACGCCCTCTCGTGAACCGAAAACGGTAAATTCCTGAATCGACGTTTCAGGGTAGGAGGTCTGTCCACCTCCAAATGGTGCAAGCGAAGCCCTCGTACGGCAGGATGCTAATATCATTCGTGCTGCTGCATCATTGAACGAAGCAGTGCAGTATCGCCCCGCGCCCGCCCGACACGAATCCCCACAGGATGAACCGAAGACGTACTCTCGTCGCGCAAAGGATTGCGGCCAACCATGTACAGTGCAGTTCCAGGGTTCTGCTAAATTGGTTGCACGACAAATTGCACGACGTCTGACGCGTGGGAGCAAAACTAGATGCAGATGTGCGAACACATGCCTAGATTGCCTCATCAGCCTTACACATGGAAACAGTGTTCAGCGACATGTCAAGTACGCATGCGCGTACTGGGCATGTTGCTGGGGGGCGTGAACAGGTCGTCTGTGTTACGCAGCTTTCTCCTTCATTACAAAGCTGGAGGCCCAAATATTGACGCACGTTTCTCTGCACCTACCGAGGCTCAGCGATGCCCTCCAACTTAAACACTCCCATTGGTGACAAAGGGTCCGACGGACGCAACGGAGAGGACAAGAAGCGCGCCGAACCAGACACGCGGACGACAATCTGATAAGTAATCAGAATGTAAGAAAGGATAAACGTCCGTGTCAGCACACACCTAAAACAGCGCATGCGTCCTCAACCAGATGGCACGTCTCTCTCAGCAGGGCCGCGAGATGCCAGGAGTCGTGTTCGGGTCGCGCGCCCTGAGCTCGGAGCAGCTCGAGGTCACAACACTCGGGAAGAAGCTACGAAGAACGCGGCTCGCTTGAAGGAGAGCGCGACGCCCAACTAGTCCCCTCTCCCTCGTGCACGTCGGCGAGCTCGGCGGCAGGCGCAACTGCCGGGGGGCACGCCGGGGGCGGCCTTCTGCAGGAGTTCGAGGCCCTCTCAGTGGAGCAGACGTGCGCGCAGAGTAGGCTGCCCCCACCCATGCCCACCACCCAGCCCCGACTCGCGCGGAAGGAGGTTGCAGGAGTGGCTCAACAAGTTGATGTCATAATGGATGACGGTCGGCTCGCGAACGCATCTTTGGCATTACATGGGCTGTTGTTGTTGAGCCCACAAGTGACAACAGAACCATACATTCACAACATAAAAAAAGCGTGCGGGAGCCGAGACATTCATGATGTGTTGAGCGCAGCATACTAGCCTTGTTGCTCGGCAGGCTGTACATAGTATGTATAGGATTGCCCGGCTGACTCTTACGCCGGCGTTCGCGGATGCAGGTCGATTTCGGGATTGGGCCGTTACCATCAGCATTGGCATTCGAGCGAACAGTTGGCATGAGGGTTAAAAACAATCCCAGCGGTGGAGGGATACCGTCATGTTGTTCGTGTTTTGGCACTCCACCCTGGAATGTGATTCATGTTAGGCATCTCCATGGGGCATTGGTCATTCATCGAAGGTAATCATGTTCTTGACCCGCGTTGTTGTGGCCATGTTTCGATTGTACCTAATGGCGCGCGTGATAAGGATGAAGGCGCAGCGCGCTATTATTGCTTTGAAACGGGCATCTGCTCGCAAGGGTCTTTCGTGCGGGTTACGTCCAATTGGACAGGTATGCGCACGCGCGGGTGCACGGCTTCATTATGATGTTCGGTATTGTTCCTTGTTTCCGTTCCTCATTGTTGGTCTTCCTCTCAATCCGCATGTCGCCCCCTTATGATCGCTCGACCGCCGTACGTTGACGGTGTTTTCAGCAGCGTGTTGTATCAGAATGATTGTTTAGAGGATTGGCACCGTAGTGTACAGTAGACGTTCGGTTGTTTGCAAGGGTGAGGGGAGCTGTACGCCCCTGGGTTGCGTTTACGGGGTCTTCTGTTGCTGCCACAGATGGGAAAACATGTCCGCTAGAATGTGCCGACGCGGTAATCACAGACAACGATACTGGAGGAGGTGCTCGGTCATTCTTCCATCTTCCCTGACCGAACACCAGATTCGCGATCGCTGGTCCTGGACCGCGTGCAAATCATCATCATATGTCTGCCTCTCCACTTCCGCCTCCCCCCGAAACTGCGCCCTATGATATTACAGGCCTCCGACACGCACCTGTACGCGTCAGATACAACGGAAAACTCACCTCCGAAGAACTCGCACTTCTCCCCTGGAGTTCGCCTGGCACTCCCGAAAACCTCCGCAGACCTCCAGAAGCCAGTCGCTCCTCCTCCCTCCGCCCCTCCTCCAGCTCCGATCGCCCCTTCCGCCGCCGCGTCGGGCGCCGACTCCGACCGCGGCCACGACCACTGCCTCCTCCTCCTCCTCCTCTTCCTCCTCCTCCCCCTCCTCCTCCTCCTCTGCCTCCTCCTCCTCCTCCTCCTCCTCCTCCTCCTCCTCCTCCTCCTCCCCCTCCTCCTCCTCCTCCTCCTCCTCCTCTTCCTCCTCCTCCTCCTCCCTCCTTCTCCTGCTCCTGCTCACTCCCTTCCCGACTCCTAGTTTGGCTCCGACTCGTTCCTCGGCTCCGCCTCCGGCTCCTGTCCCAAGCTCCGCCTCGTTCCTCTTGGCATCGCTCGGACGTGTGCATTTTTTCCTCGGCGAGGACCATCGAGGACCATCCTGGGCCATCGAGCAAGAAAAACACGCACGAAACCGAAAAATGCACAGGAAATGGCCGTCCGAGCGATGGCGAGTCATCGGCTTCGTGATGTGAGGGTCGTTTCGCTTCAGTCTCCGACGCCGCCGCTGCAGAGCCTGCCTGCCAGCAGATCCGTAGGGATGTTGTGTTTTCCCCCTTGTCTCTTTCCTGCCTCTCCTGCCTCCCACCTCCTCCTCCTCCTCCTCCTCCTCCTCCTCCTCCTCCTCCTCCTCCTCCTCCTCCTCCTCCTCCCCCTCCTCCTCCTCCTCCTCCTCCTCCTCCTCCTCCTTGTCTCTTTCCTCCCTCTCCTTCGGGTATAGCCAGGACCCCGGGTAAGTGGACCGGGTTAGTGGTAGGGCCCTGGGGCCCCTCAATTGGCCAGATTCACTGAACCAGGTTTGCCGTAGCTGAGCTGGTGTTTTTGGGGTGACGGCAGTTCCGGTTAGTGGAAATGGGACGGGGGGGCGCCCCCGGTACAAATCACTAAACCGGGTTCCATTAAACCCAGTTCTGCCAATGTCCGACTCTTGCCTCCCGGAGGCGGAACGCAAGCTAGCCCCGCCGGGGTTGGCCGGGGTTCCGCCTTCTCTGCCCGTCCTGTTTGTGCTCCCCTTCCGAATCGAATGGCGATGTGGTTGATCGCGGAGGGCTGAGCGGCAGCGCGCTTGTCTGCAGCCCTCCTGTCTTCTGCCCTCCTCCCTCTCTCTTTCTCTCTGTCGCCCCCTGGTGCATGCGCGTCTGCGGGGCCATGGACCCCGCAGACGCGCATCAGGAAAGGAATGGAGGAGAAGGAGGAGGAGGAGGAGGATTAGGAGGTGGTGGTGGTGGTGGTGAAGCATCAACTGGTCCTGAATCCTGCTCGACGGATCAGCGGCGACCGATGGGCGGCGTGGGATCACTGTGTCCCCGCCGATGTCAAACAATCGCCATCCCCCGTGGCTCCCTCTCCAGGACGCATGGCTGGAGTGGACGGGTCGAAATCAGACAACAAACACGAACTCAAGGCAGAGCTAAGGTGGCACATACGAGGAGGAGGCACAGAAGAAGGAAGGCCGAGAGGAGGGAGGACAAGAGGGACGAAGGAGGGTAGGCGCCACCGAAACTCATTCAGGCTAAAGAACTGCACGAAGCATTCGGGCACGTAATTGGCACGAAACCTCAAAAAAGCACTGGCGAGCAGAACTGAATTGGCCGGCCGGGTTAACGTCACCACATTCAGGGGGAAGGGGAAGAGGAGAGGGACGAGGACGGAGGCGGAGGGGGGAAGAAGAGGAGGAAGGGCAAATAAAGTAACGTGGTCATCGCCCGATTGCCTGTCAGTCAGGGCGCCCGCATGACCTGGCTGCGCGACCAACCACTAGGGAACCAACGCCAGGGCCCTATCCCCTGAGTGTTCCTAGTTTTCGTTGCTTCTGGCTGCCGCGTGCCAGCCCGCACATGCCAGGTGCTGCTCCGGGCGTGCACGTCTGCGGGGCCATGGGGCCGTGCGCTGCGTGACCACACCAAGGACCTGAGTGACTCTTGGCATCGCTCGGACGTGTGCATTTTTTCTCGGCGAGGACCATCGAGGGCCATCCTGGACCATCGAGCAAAAAGAAACACGCACGAAACCGAAAAATGCACGGGAAATGGACGTCCGAGCGATGGCGAGGACTGGGGTAGGTGCCGCACTGCACCCCTCGCATTACTGCGCCCTGTACTGTAGTTGGTCTTCCGGCTTGTGGAGCCTCGTGCTGTGAACAGGTCGCGGCCAGTTTTGCTGTGCGTTGTTGTTCGTCCCCTCTCTCTCTCTCTCTCTCCTCTTGATTCTTCGGCACTGCACTCTCCCACTGGCTGCACTGATTGGGGTCGTGTGCCTCTCTGCTCCTCCTCCTTCCTGCTGCGCCCCCTTCTATAGCCAGTGTTTTATCCTCTTGCACAGGGTGTCTA